TATCCCATAAAGGTTTTGTCGCAAATACAACGGACTGAACACATACTGTAAAGATGAATCTTTTAAAGAAGTTATAAATTGCCGATAACTCAAGAAAGAGAGGGAGATGGGGGTTTAACGTCCACTCGACACACACTAGGTCATTTCGGGATTAACAGATAGTTTAATTTTTATTTCAATAATTCGCTTGCGCGTAGGGGTCTTTAGCAGTGGGAGGAAACCGGAGGACACGGAGAAAACCCACGAGGTTGGACAGGCGATCCTACTCCTTGTCACATACAACCGGGGAATCGAAACCACGCCAATTGACTCAATGACAGACCTTATGATACAGCACCTGCTAACCATTCGCCCCCCCCCCCCACCGATAAAACAGAAACCATGACAGAGTAAAGAGTCAAAGAGAGCTGTTTACAGAAGAGGGAAATAAAGATTACCCATAACACAGACAGCGGAAGGTTTTTTTTTTCCAAAGATACATAAATGATTTTCAATAATAAAGAAAGTCAGATAGAGCCTTATCGAGAAAACACTAAGGATGGAAAAGTATTAAATAAAAACACTAAGGATGAAAAACTTTTCTCAAAAACACAAAAAGGTTGCAAGACTATCCCTGGATTACAGAGTCTTATCAAGAATATAGAAAGGGTGGTGGAATCTTACTGGATCACAGAAAGGATGGGAGGATCTCATCACCAACACGTCTTATTACGAACACATAAAGGATAGAAGAGGTTCGTCAACAGCACTCAAAACATAGAAAGAAAGTATTATTAATAGGGAGAGGAGAATACAGTCAAAGAGTCTTACTTTAACACGGAACAAAAAGTCTTATCAAAAACACACGTTCATACTAATTATCTTTAAACTAATCATCAAAATTACGCTTTTCGCCTTAATGGTGTAATAGCTGTTAAATTTCTAGTTAATTATAAAACTTATAACCTTACCTTGGAAACCAGCAATAGTAATGGTTACAGCAGTCCAGAATCCCATTTAATAAAACGTGTAAGAATGTTAAAGGGTCGTTGATTTGAAAAACGGACAGATCACCTATCAAACGCTTTGTGTACTGTACGTGTACATAGCCCAGTTTATACAAGTTTCACTATACACTTACAGGTAAGCTATTGTATGGAATTCTGTACTTGATCACTGCATTAACTTACACAACGATAAGATAAGTGTTTAAATGAACACGTTTACTATCGTTCCCCCACAAAGGATGTCCCTTTTTTTACAATAACTTACACAAGAGGACAGTGTCAAAATTTCAATATGTGACACGTAAAATTGTATTTAAAAGAAGTATCGTTTTCGGGGTCCGTTGCTTTTATACACTACTTTATTTTCTCTAATCGAAATCAGTGAAGATATTTTATATTTCTAATTCTGTAGATCCCGGTTAATACATATATAATCTTTTTTTTGATATAAAAAAAGAAGAGTAGAAGATTTTATTTATCACCCAACCCTTTCCATCCTTTTTAATTGACCAATCAAATTCTAGGAGATATCGCTCTGCAGAATATGAAAGTTATCACACAAGCAATATCTACTGCAGAATGTGTTATTGGGTGATAACTAATAATATCCAAATCCCGATTATCAGTTTTATAATTGACTTACCTACAGTACAAAGGATCATAAAAATAACCACGCTGCAATTTGCAAGGCACACGTTACGAAATCATATTTTAGTTCCATCATAGTTAATTCAGGAAATCTACTACACAGCCATAAAACATCCAGTGCCTCGTGCTCTTTATATACGCGAACTTATTCAATTAGTCAGAACTTAAACTATTATTTCCATTGCACAATTTGGGACAGAACGTCACTACTGTGTGTATCAGATCTCGTGTGAATCGATTGCTTCTTTTTTACCTCTAGAATAAACAAAACACACACTATATCTGTCAAATCTTTTGTATTATGTCTAACTTGACAATATTATTACCATTACAATACCCATGTCACTGTCGTATAAATCACAACATAATTCATAGTAATAAATTTCTTTATGAATTATGTATAATATTTAAACATATTAGGCTACACCATACATGTCTATTAACATAATATGACGAGTTATTACTTTGACCATGGACCTTATGCTTTGACAAGCTGTGTTGTATGACCCTCATAATCGGCCTTCCTTTATTCTCAATTTTATTACCCTGATACCCTGATTTCATTCACCATTTCCACCTATCGATACATAATTCGCCAATACCCGTACATGGTGCAATGCTGTACATCATCGGGGTGACGGCCTTGCAAAATTGAGCAAATGGTTTTGCCATAGTGCACCGTTGAGCTAAAAATGCAGTTTGAATAGAATCCTATCGAAGGGAGCTAACTCGTAATGATTTTCAGGAACACCGAAGTTGCACCCCTTAGATTGAATAACGTGTAGTGTGACTAAATGAATTGAAATGAGGTTTAGTTCTGCACCAACATGACTAATGGGGACGGGTATACGCCATGTAGTGTGTTATGTGTTTCCGCCCACTCTTCATCGAATTGCAACGGTCAGTGGTTCTTTTACGTGTACGCCAACATGTAAACGTGTGTGGCGAAATACGCCAGAAGTCTCAATCGAATGGCAATCTCTAGCGTTTGGTTATTCCAGTCTACACCGATAGTATTTACTGAGCATGCTCTCCAGATAAGAATATGTTTAGCCTCGTTCTCCGAGACCCTTGTTACAAATGACGCTGAAACGCATTATTGTACACGTTTCGTGTACCAATGGTAAAATATTTATTTTGTCTTCAATATTGGCTATCAGAAACCCATATTTTCCGGGTAAGATCACAACATCAATGTTGATTTAAATTGACAAAAAAATCGTGTTTTCAATGTCGAAGATTTTGGATGATATTGAGTTAGAGACTTAGCCACTTTAAGGATACTAAAGAATAACCTATGAATATTCACAACATCCGAGAAGAGATATGTTAGTAAGTTGACATGGATCGAGGCAAAAGATGCAACTGAAGGTATACTGGTTATACGCAAGTTAGTCGTTGCAACATGCTGCATCAACTGGTATACCGAGAAGTAGTTAATATGTTAAAGATATAAGAAATCTATAAATCAGAAAAGGGGCGATGACATGTCATAATGGTTAGTATATGCCAGAGCCAAACTGCATCTTGTCCCCCGCCCCCAACCCTACTAAGCAACTGGGTGAAATTAATGGGGTTTTCATAGAAGCAGCTCCCGGATGACCTTATTTGAAAACCCAACACCTTTTCCGCATAGACACTTTGAGAGTAAACACACACTGTTCACTATTGAGTATTCTGTTCGCTCCTTTCTTTATCATAAGAAGTCAAGGATCTTCAATTATACTGTAACATGACGGGTCGTTGCCGATTACACTTGAGCGTCGACAGTGTCTGGCACTTATGCAACCGGAAGTCCCAGGTTCGTATTCAGGATGTCAGGCTTCCCGCGTGGATTAAAGTAAAAGGGAACACTTTTATAGAGTTTCAAATTCTTTATTTCGTGAAATACAACAAATAAATGAACGAGACGCGTATCTGAGTCGGCTCGTCTTCTTCTTACCAGTGGGAAACCAATTGAAAATAAAGGACTTGCACCAAGTGTATCAACTATGCTTACGTCAACTACGTCCGCTTTCAGAACCAGGAAACGGGGCGTCCGCTTACACCAAATCTTATAACTTCCGAGCGAACACCCTTAGAATCAATTAGAACCCAGAACTCGTATAAAAATATAAACGATAATTCGCCTGCCTCAGGCCGAACTAACAATATTCGTACAAAGGGAAGCACCAAACAAACTCTCCAATAATTAGAAACTCGTAACTTTACAATAAAATACCCACACCATAGCTTTATGCCTGTCTCAGCCCGAACTAACAATATTTGTACAAAGGAAAGCACGAAATCTTATATCACCCAAACGGAACTCTCCAATAATTAGGAACTCATAACTCTAAAATATAAACAACATAGCTGTATGCCTGCCTCAGCCCGAACTAACTATATTTGTACAAAGGAAAGCACCAAATCTTATATCACCCCAACGGAACCCGTAAATTAATTAGAAACGTAACCTAACTCAAACAAACAACCCCCTATATTTTGAAACGCCCGTCTTAGCCCGTGCTCGTCCTAAGCGGCGTAATTGGTTACTCCTGTAGGATTCGCACGTTTCCAAAAAGACGAAACTCTACTCTGGAGATCTTGCTTGCCCCGAGCGGAATAAGTGATTACTCCTGCGGGACTTGCGGGACTTGCGGGACATCAAAGACAAAGTCTCTCCTTGGAATGTTTACCTCGATTGGAATAATTAGTTATTCCTCCGAGGTTCGCACCCCCGACTGTTCGACTAAAACTGACTTTGACCGGCCTTATATACCTGCTTATACGCTATGCAACTGGGAAATGCACGTGCATAACCGATGCACTCCGAGTAAATACAATTTAGATCCCGCTCTCCAATTGGTTGATTTTATCAGACATTGACCAATAGAAAGTTCCAAAATACAAGTCGACGGCATATACACAAAATGACGGCCATTTACGCAATTTCCTCATGTAAACAAACCCCATTACGAGTTCGACGTAATATGAAGCAATATGAATAGATAACTATGCGTGGAACAAATAATAAACTGCAAGTCCTAGCTATTGTAATGATCTATAAAATACGAAACCCCCACAATACTATTCTAGTATTTAAGACGGAGGAGGGGTGGTGAGGGATTTGGCCATGTGCCCCAAATAACGCAAATAACTGAAAATCCTATATACGCCAGTGTTCCAGCGATAGGGATATGGATATTTTAAGATCTGAAAATCTGGGAGCTTTATAGGACATTTTAACACACCAACTGAAACGGGGGTCCTCAACATCAACTAACCTGTATGTAAGAGAAAATATATGGGGCGGGCCCAATTATATCTACACCTGTCCTACAGATCAGAATACTGGGGGTAGCCTACGTGTAATCTATTGTTATAACCATATTAATTCAACGGTGTAGTGCGCACAGTGTAACAAAACACATACTGTGTTTATCGACAAGCATGGTTGGTTAAGGTTTAGTTTTCATAGCAGTCCTTTGTGGCGCTGTAACATACATAGATCCCTAATGATTCAGTGGCTTGAAAAATATGAACTGGCTTCTTCAATTAGCAGGTTGGACCAATCAATATGGAGGTGTAGAGGATGCTGCCATGTAGACAATACTGTTCACGCCTTCACGGCAATTGTTGACGCCCCTATGTAGTAAAATGGGATAGGTAAGATGTTCGGTCATGTGTTACTTGGAATAGTATAACACGATTATCATTAGAGATAAGGTGTTTCTTATTGACCGATACTTCGTTAGAAATATAAAAGGGATCAACACCTCCAGCTTAATCGACCATCGAACCAAGGTCACCGTGATTGACAGTCGAACTTAAGATGACATTGAAAGTTGGTTATAAATCGAAGCATGATAATCAAGATGCCAGACGAAAGCTTTACCAATGATGCGATGATGGTGTGGAATTCTGCAAAACGGTCCTGTTTCAGCACTATCAAGGTGTTGGTAATATTAACTGGAGGGTGTTTTTTGTTACTGCTCAAGTCAACAATTGAACAACCAGACCGTAAGTTTGTTTTGATACAGAGTTTATTCTTCCACGTTTTAAATATTAATATGTATTTTCTGAGTGCAATTGCATAACAATTCAACTACCCAGATTGACTTATTAAGATTATTAGCTAATGGGGGTCGTTTTGTGCACACTTTGTGCGCCATATTGCATATATTTCCCAATACCAAAATCCATTAGAATTTCTGACAATTGACAAATATATTACCTAAACCCTTTACAATTAGTGACAGATGACAATAAATAAAAGTTATTTCTACGTAATTCAGGTTTACAGTAATGTTAGCACAGTTCAGGTCGCCAAAGAAATATATTACCAGATAAAGTGGATTATTTATTAATATGAAGCGAGATATTATTAATTAATACGATATTGTTTGTTAGTGATAACTGGCGTGATATCTCTAATGGGTAATAAAAATAACATTAAATTTCGTAAAAAGGACTAGTAATTTACAAGACCATAGATGCCGATAGAAGCTGGTTCTTACATTAAATTCTACAAATCGAAACTCCGGAGAAAAAAATTCCTTTTAGATGTTAATTTACTTGAATCATAACTGCAGAGGTGGCCCAGTGGTGTTTTTTGGTTATTGAACTGCCTCACAACCAGTGCATGGGGAAGTGGTTTTCTAGTTCGGTTCGCACTTGGAGTATAGTTATTTAAAACTTTTAAAATTATGATTAAATTACACAATGTAAGGTTAGTAGAATGTAAGGTTAGTCGATGCCACGAATTTTCGGTCAAAACCAAATATAAAAATTTCGGATAAAGATTATCACGACCCCCCCCCCCCAAAAAAAAACAAAAAAAAGAGGAAAAAAAAACCCTACCACTACAACAAGTAAGAATATTAACAAAATAACAATATATACATGAATAAACGAAAGTTAACAGAACGAACAACTGTAGTAAGCATAGGCGTACGAGCTGGGGGGGGGGGGCGCCCCCCCCCATTTTGGGCACACAATTGTACTTTGTAAAAGTTGTATAAAAAAAATATTGTGTTCTTGAATGTGTCCAATTTAACAGCGAATTTATTATTATTATGTAACATACTAAGAACCTAACTACATTTTTTGGGCACCAACCACCACCGCCCCGCCCCCCCGTCAAAAATTTCCCTGTACGCCTATGGTAGTAAGTCATTCAAAAAATACAGGTACAGACATTTTTAAACGTATTTCAATTCTCAGGTTTAAGTTAAGACGTATAATTTGATGTACATACCGACAGGCCAAAAGGCGAGGCTATTGATAATGTAATAAGTTAGCCAGTCAGCATAGTTTAAGAAAAGGTATTTATAACAAAATATTTGGGCATGATGCATGGTTTAAAGTAGCTAAGACTCTAACTCAATATCATCAAAAATCTTCGACGATGAAAACTCGAATTATTGTCAATGTAAATCAACATTGGTGTTGTGATCTTACTGGGAACAGGTGGGCTTATGATATCCAATATTTAAGACAAAATAAACATTTTACCATTGGAACACGAGTCGTGTACCATAATGCGTTTCATCGTAATTTGTAATAAGGGACTCAAAATACGAGGCTAGGTATATTTCACCAGTCATGTCAGATGGTGACATCATATTCTTATTTGTTGAGCATTCGCAATAAATACTAGTACTATCGGTGTAGACTGGAATAACCAGACGCCAAATACCACCATCCAATTTGGACTCTTCGCGTATTTCGCCGAACATAACTGATTAGAAATTACAGTAGAAATAGAAACGACTGAATGTAAATCAATTTATATACATTCATATTACATTATTATACGCGTTGCAACCCATTTGTGTCAATTTCTAGGTCCCAAATATTAGTGATTTAGCTCCTTTAAGCAACGACCAGTATGGGGAGATACAGTATGTTAATTACAACCACAGGGCAGACGTAAATGTGAAGAATTGTGTGGGTATATTATTATATCAATCAAGTAATTAATTCAACTAAAATTGTATTTTCCCCCTACAATTGTCACAATGACGTGTCAAAAACAAGCTTAAATTAGATTTTATGCAAAATTTAAGATACATCTGATATCGTGGACCAGTCTTTGAGTTTTCAATAACAAGATGAGTCTACGTTTATTTTCAATAAATTATTCAAAGTTAATAACATTTTCTTTCTTGGTGAAGGTTCCAGTGAAAAGGTATTCAAGGCTACTTGATACACGTTGCGCTTCGTCGTTTTTTTAAATTATTATCCTGTAAGGCATGGTTGTTTAGTTGTATTTCTGAGTACAAACAACCTTTACAGAATGGATTGTGAAATATCGGTAAAATATGTAAACCTTTTGTAATAAATTGGTTCTAGCGCAGGCTCCTTCGAATTCCACCCCAAGGGATTACTTATCCGCATTACTTATCAGTTCATGATACCATTTTCACGACCATTCCCATGGCAGTTCGCGTATGACCTGTTGAGAACTAAAAATGCTGGTGACGGGGTAATAACTATGCATAATATTGATGTGTGAGTCTTCAAAACACTGATCCGTGGGGTGTTTAAAAAGTTACGGTAAAGGCGGGGGGGGGGGCGAACTTGATGAATATTGATAGAGATATATACGTATGATTAGCCGAACAATGCCTGCTAGTTGAATAAATAAACCTAACCCAGCGAGTTTGAAGAAAACATCTCAAAAACGGTATATGCGAAAATCGTGAATTAAAAAAAAAAACACGATTCGATTCATACATGGGGGCCATGGTATATTGGGGAGTATGGCGCTGGGTAAATAACTAGTAAACGACCGCGGGGTTAACTGAGAAAGGTCATTTTATGTTATGCAGGATGGAGGGCATGGCAGCATGTTTAAGCGAAACAAGAAAAGGCCGTACTGCGCTTTGAACCCCATTTCATTTTATTTTAATTCATGGGTGTGTATGTTTTAAAGAATCAAAACTGTTATCATGGTGGGACCATCCCTTAATATAGCCCTCCATGTCTTTGTGTTTACAAGGGAGGGGCATGCACGATATGAAAGAAATTAAATGCAATTACCTGGTAGGATTGTAAGATTAGACGTAAAATTAAATTAAACAGGATATGTTTTCACGAATGATTAAAGAAATGTTTACAATCCATTATATTTTCAAACTAATTAAAATATTGTTTCCACGTCAACACTTAACTTAAAAGTGCTATAATATTCAAAAATAGATAATGCAAAATGAATATATTGAAAAGTTATCAATGGTTGTAGGTTTAACAAGGTGTGTGCATTTATCACAAATACCGTACTGGTACTCCAGTTTTAAAATTAAATCATTTTAATTAATTGATTTTAATTAAATCTAATGTTATTAAATGTCTAATTAATAATTTATATGACATTTAAGGCCCAAAGAAAGACCTGCAATACCCAGATTTAGTTCTTGCATAATGCCTGTTTAATTCAAATTTCAATTACCCCACCCCCCAAAAAACCCCCAAAACAAGTTTAAGTCAAGTTTAAGCAAAATCATTAGTATTAATCAGGTGTGAAATTTAACTGAAAATCGGCATTAGTGTATGAATGAATGAATGATATTATAATGGTAAAGAAATATACACCCCCTTAGGCTGAGTATAAAGATGATGCATTTTTAGCATAGTACAATAATTATAGTTGTATATCAATTGTATTACTTCCAAGGTTATTTTGTGCGGTAGGGAGGTCGCTGGATGGTCTAACATGTCCTGGAGTCAGGTGTTGTGACCATTATTAGGGTCACCTGTCTAACCGCGTGGGTTTTCTCCGGGTCATCTGTTTTCCTGATGTGTGTCACAGTATATGTTTTACACTGATGTGTTGCCATGCAGATTGAAACCGCGCGATTTGTTCCATTGCGCCCCTTTCACTTAGCCTTTGCAAAAATAAGACATACGGTCCGCAATAAATGATTCTCTCAAACAAATTGACATTTGATGATCTCACGAGAGGTGTGAGTGAATGCGAGTTTAGTTTTCACAATCTGAACTAACAATATCAGCAGTCACATTATCATGGATTATAAACAAGTGTGGACACAGAACGGCGCCTTGTGGAACGCCAACTACATTTCGGTGTTGTGAAAGCTATTTAACGATTGGAATGAACTACCGAGTTAACATTCTCAGGACAAATGGAATTGATCTCAACATCGACCTTTCATGGCCCATATAAAACACATAATTATAGCCTCTTACATGGGACTGTTTTATGCTTCAGCAAGCTCCCAAGGCGTAATTATTGTTATAGCGGACTTCTATACAAAATTTTACAAGATAATCAAATAGTTCAGGGTCATACAAAGTAAAATAAAGACCTATAGAATTGTTATATAGGTCCTTTATAATGATAGGAATTGCGAAAAAGTTCACAATAAATTTCACAAAACGACATTGTTGTCTGGTTTTGAAATGTTGAATACGATATGACAGATTTTTATTCCTATTATATATCTTTATATTTTGTAATTTCAGCGTGTGGGGTAGTATATGTCTTAAATAGTTTTGGTGCTATAGATATCAACTCATAATACAATTAGTAAAATGATAAGTTATTTAAAAATAACTATCATTTAGTGATTTTTTTTAAATTATCAAATATTGAAACTATTCTTGATTTAAGCGTTGCCACGGATACAGTCAATACACTTTAATATATAATTATATTTAAACCGAGGCCAATGTCTTTATGGTATGAGTAACTGTATGAAAACCATAAAAGCACCTACTATAAACGAATTACCTATGGTTGAGTAATTTTAATGAAGATTCTTACGGTAAAAACTTACATGGTTGACTTCAGAGTATAGAAATTTGTTATATTATAGCACTTTATACCCCATTATATAGGATATAAGTGTTTTATCAGGCGTAAAATGATGCTATATTAAAAAGGCTGCTTATTCACAACAATATATAGTAAGTAAGTGAGTTTTGAATATAGAATGTGATCTCTATTAGGAGCATCGAAAGCATACAAGGAATATAAACCATCTCTAAATTATGTATTAATGTGTGCGTAATTGGTTCATAGTCTGACTTAAAAACGAATGTCAATGACCAAAAGCACACTGAACTACTATTTATTAAAGGCTCACATCAAAAGAAAACTTCTGAATCCGGCATCATTTCAACCAAATAATGTAATATGTCAAAAATCAAATCAATCAGAAACCACACATATAATAATTATTATGATTTTGAATTTATTTAGTATTTCTCTTTAAAGGCGCCAACATTTGATGAAGTGTTCCACTTGCCTCGTCTAAAAGTTTGAAATGAAAAACCTATGCTATTTCATTGTTTATGTCATTAATTATTATGTTGATAATTTGTAACACTATAGAGATAAAAGAGATCAGTTTAGTAAATATAGTATTTATTTACATCAGGAATTCAAGAATATAAAACAGCAACATAAATTAAACAGGAACTAAACTACATCAGGAATATAAACAATAACATCAGCACAGTACATCAATAGTTTGAAGGAGCTAAATGGTTAATATGTGAAACCTATAAACTGACACAAATGGGTCGCAACGCATATAATACTGTAATATGAATGTATATATATAAACTGATTTACATTCAGTCGTTTCCGTTTTACTCTAATTTCAAATCAGTTATGTTCGGCGAAATACGCCGATAGTATTTATTGCGCATGCTCTTCAGATAAGAATATGGTATCAACGTTTGGCATGACTTGTGGAATATGTCTAGCCTCGTTCTTCGAAGCTCTAGTTACAAATGATGCTGAAACGCATAATGGTACACGATTCATGCACCAATGGTAAAATGTTTATTTTGTCTTAAATATTGGATATTGGAAGTCCATCCTTTCCCAGTTAGATCACGGCATCAATGATGATTTAAATTGACAAATAATTCATGTTTTCAATGTCGAAGACTTTGGGTGTTACTGATTTAGAGACTTGGCTACTTTAAGATAACCTTTCCACACCTCTGCCACGGCAGCGGCTGAACTCGGGTTAGTTCATTCGCCGGTTTCTGCTCCCCTCTTCTCCCTCGAACCAGATCTCCTGTCAGCAAACTGATGGTTATATACCTATCAAATGGGTCTGCAGACACAATATCATTACTATATATGGAGTTTACAAGTTATCTTTACTTCGCTAACTGGTATAAATGTCATATCTACATTGCCCATACATGTGGAATTGATAGTCTCTAATTAGTGCGTGGGGATCACGTGGCTAAGTGGGTAAGACTCTGGCTCGCTAGCCTGGAGGTCGGGTGTTTGATCCCTGCATTTGCCGAGAAAGTTCATCTAGATTTTCCGGCGTGGTTCCCCTTGTCATTGATGCAGGACAGAGGGCCTGACAAGGATGGGACGAAAAACCGAGGTCCCGTGTACAAATTGGCGTGCACGTAAAAGATCCCTTGGCAGTTGGAATTCGATATAAGAGTAGGCCGTAGCGCCGCTGCCCGGGCAAAATTTCCCTCATAGCACACTGTATGGCACATGCCCGTCTTCATTAGCCCAGTTTAGGAGCAAAACAGTAGGACGTTAAACTCCATTTCATTTCATTTCTAATTAGTGCGTACGTGTTTAGAACAAAGTGTATGCTGAAAAGCCAATATCATACATTATCAAAACCAGCTAGGGCCAATAAGTTCACTGCATCTAAATAATAGTTCGTATTTTATAAAATAGAAAATTGAGTACTTTGTCACAAATTGCAACGACCACTTACCACTACAACTTTGGTCAGTACATAAGTATAGTAATTTGCAGGCACGTCTATCGCAAAAGTTTGTATTTCTTAGAAAAAGTATCAGATTATAACCGATACATGTGGCAGTTACCGCTTTTTAATTCAGTCGGTTAACGATTACTTTTGGTTTAGTTGTGTCACATGTGGGATCTTAAATCGTCGTTTCGGATCCATCGTGTTAAAATTCGAAGGCCGCGGTGATTCAGTGAGAGCCTGACAAAGAACAACGTATAGTCGTTCAGATGAGACGGAAACCGAGGTCCCGTGTAGACATTGGTGTGTACAGTAAAGATCCGTTGGCAGTTGGAATTCGATATAAGAGTAGACCGTAGCGGCGCTGTCCGAGCAAAATTCCTCTCATAGCACACGGTATGGCGTACTTCCGTCTTCATTAGCCCAGTCGCATTAGAATAGTAGGGCATTAAACCCCATTTCATTTCTCTATGTTAAGATTAATTTTAGAATCTGTTTAACCATTTCTATTATACATGTAAAATATGTAGTCGCTGGTATTTTCCTTTAACTCACTGCTCAGTTCACATTTATTAAGATAAGGACCGTTTAATACGCTGTGTTGTTTTGATATGTATAACAACTATTTGAGAAAAACTTGCGAAGAATAATAGTTACATGTACCAACATAAGCACATTTATTTTTCTAAAATCGACATTTGCATTCTCATAAAGAAAATTTAATTAATTGTGAAGTTTATACTCCTCAAATTTGAATTTAATGTCATTTTGGTATTGTCTCATTAAGTCAAACAACTGTAATTTGATATTGGGAACGGTATCAAATTGCGTGGCCTTTACTGTGATGTAACGTGATTGTGATCAGTTGCGCGTAACAGCTAAATGTCTTGTCATAGTTGACAATAATGTGCGAATAACATGTAACTAATCCGTTTTAGAAATGGATGATTTTGTAGTATTTATTTGCGCGATTTGCCGTTAAACCTGTCAAAGCCCCCCCCCCCCATCACCCACCCTTACTGTCATATTTTTTATGCCTGCGTCAGCTTATTATTTAAACTGGTCTAGGTGTATTTTGGTTTTCCTTTTATCATAGTTTAAATGCCTTGAAGTTCAGAATTTTTTGTGTATCGTTACATTCTAAATGTGTTTGTCGATGTTTTACAAAATGTAATAACACACTCGGGGAACACATCTTGTTGGATTTCCTTTGTCCTATAATGACATTTGTACATTGTTTTTAATTTATCTCTTTGGTGGTTATTTTTATCCTACAAGTAGAATCCAGGATCTTATATTGAAGAAAAACGTTTACACTTTGGTGTGAGGCAAGGTTCGATATTAGGTCCTTTGCTCTTCGATGTAAATCGACCGTTGACTACCATTAATGCTTTAATTATTCTTTTTTTAGATGTAAATAGGATTATTGGTACCATATCAATCTTCAGACGAATAACGCACAGTATTACCAGCTATAAATTCAATGAGCGGAAGATACGGTGCCCTGGATGCGAGCCACCATGTTTAGCAACCATTATAAACCCTTGTGGAAACATAACTCTAACGGCCTCAACATTGTCCAGGAAGAGACTTGAGATACACTGCGACGAGAATTACACATGGACAGAACATTCTACAGTTCGTTCTAACGTCAATCCGTTCACAATGAACAGTGATGATCAATGTCTCGAAAGGTTTATTCAAGAAAATTGTTATGACAACAGGATTGTGCCTAACGTAATCCATTATGTCTGGTTCAATAAACATGTAATGGATGTGTATTCATTCCTAAGTGTTATAAGTACTTACAAGAGAATAAAACCATGTTTAATAATTATTCATGCTGACGTTATGCCCTATGGTCCATATTGGGTATATTTATTAACACTTGTGCCAAATCTAATCCACATTTACAAACCGGCGCCAATCAGTATTTTTGGTAAAAAGTTAGGTTACGTTCAACATAAAGCCGACATTGCTCGTTTGGAGATATTGAAGGGTATGTATACATTTTATTTCCTATAACTTTCCTATAAATTTTTGGTCCAAGTTAAAAGATTTATTTGCGGTACAGGTTATCAGTTTTGTTTCGAACTTTGACAATGCATTTTTAGGAAGGATACAGCCTGATTAAAATCAGATGGTTCCCAATCCGCTTTCCGTTTTATATTCCGCATTTTTAATTCACCGATTCGTGTTCTTGGTTGTGTGCTCTGAATAGCCAATGATAAAGCTGTTCCAGTAACATCGCCAATTAAACAACGCATGAGCTTACTGAAGTCAAATACATAATGCAACCCACCACCAAAATTTAACAAAATATACACTAAAAGCCCCCAAATTTTGATATAAGCAACCGGAACGAACCCAATTTTCTAAAGATTATTTTAATACTTCGTTTTACATTTATTATTATTATTATTATTATTACAGCATATTTATAGTGCGCCCTTTCAAATAACATGTTCAGGGGCACTTTACAAAATGACAATGTAATCATAAATAAACAACAAGATCATGGACATGTTAACGATTGTATACAGAGTCAGTTAACAGCCTGATTAAATAAATGTGTTTTAAGTTGTTTTTAAAAGAATATAGAGATGTACAACATCTTAAACTAAATGGTAGATTATTCCATAAAATGGGTGCTTGATAACTAAAAGAGCTCTGACCATAAGAGACTAGTTGAACAGTTTTGGGCTTTAAAAGTAGTTTATCTAATGTACGTAATGTTCGGCCAGGTGTATAAAGTTCTAAAAGATCTGAGAGGTAAACAGGAGCTAAATTATTTAAACTTTTTAAAGTAAGTAATAAAATCTTAAAATCAATTCGATATTTAACAGGTAACCAGTGTAAATTACATTTATTAACAGTAAAGTAAGTTACCTTATCTTACAAGCTATTTTATTTACTAGCTGAAGTGTAATGTAAACACCTATTTATAAAGCGTTTGGAAACCAACACGGTGTGCTTCCAAGCAACGCTGTAACCTCTTCTACATGTATAGCACACACGGGTTATTTCATTTTTTGGGTTGAGGAAAGTTGAGTTAGTAGAGAGTTAAAGCTTCGTCAGCGTTCAGTTATTCAACCTATACATAGTCTGAACATTTGCATACTGAGCTTTAACATTTTTCTGGGTTGCTCGGGTCTCAGCATTTTGCCATAACTAGGGTATTAATTCAAGCGTGCCTTTTAAGCTAGATATGCAATATCCTGATATTTGGCAATCCGAGTCATCAAGACATCTGTTTGCTTCTTAAAGCTAACCGAACTCTAAAATTTGCAAGGGCGAAGGTTCTATGTAAAAAGAATGGGATCATTGTGCAGAATTGCACGCAGACGTTTTATGGTGTTTTCCTGTAGCATTTGACGAAGAGATCAACACACCAAAGTCCTCCGTATAGCCAGCTCCAAGAAGCGCTGGTTTGACTGGATTTCGTAGCCAATGTTTCGCTTCAAACATTGGAGAGCGAGTCTGTAAGGAATTGATCGAATGTAGAATGGGACTTAAATTTTGAATACTTTTGGCGCTATCGACAAAAAACAAAAAAACAAACACAATCTTGTCGGTGAATAGTAGTACTGTTTTTGTAAAAAATTTCAACTATCCATAAATTTTGGTACGATGTGTAGAAATGCACATGTGTACAATAATGACAAATTAGCCCATTGTCATTTGAGGGTTAGGGTATGAGCAGATATAACTTAGAAGGGACCGTTTAAAAGAGGGGTGGTGGTCCAATTTCTGCCAACTCGAAGTAGGTGTACCTCTAGACCAAACTAGAGGAAACAGTTTTCTTGCAATTTTCATTTTAGGCTGACCCGTTTATTTCCTATTTTGATTCTACTACAGACTGGAAAATGGGATTATTGATCCGACTAAACCGCTAGCATGATGGAAATGTTTTAATTTATAAACTAAAAAGAAACATCTTTTATGACACATATTCATCTCAAACAACTATGACCCAGAAACCATGACCTCACAAATAGGCTAATGTGACATCATGAACAAAATCACCTCAATTCAAGAACTTAATCGAAGCTGGCAATTTTCACATCTTCAAAATTTAGGAACACTTGGTGGGTTCTTGAAGGTCACGAGTTTGATAATATTTAATTATAGTTTGAATGGATAAGATTAAGGTCTTTCAGTCTAATTTAGCGAGCACAATGAGTTCTCATTTTTGACACAACTGAAATGTGCTTAATAAAAGGAGCGTATTGTATTTAATAATGCCACTTCAGAAATAAAGGATATGAATTATATAAAGGACGCAAAAAAGACCAGAAATCTTTAAGTAAGTACATGAACCATTAACACAAAATCTGTATTTTATTATGTACAATTCTAAATTGACAATTTAAAGCATATTTATCGAAAAACAAAGAACTAGTATGAACTATTCGTGAGCCAATCAAAGAAATATTACTGTTTGTATATCTGACATTAATTCTACTAAATAACATTTAAAATAGGATATGTATATTCAAACATATCGTCTAAACTGAGCAGAGTAAATACATGTACACTCACATCGCAGCTATGTCTTGAACAAAAATTATAGCCATAGTTAGCAGCTTGTCCGAGAGGATGTTGACCAAACTTGATCATTCCTTCAAGAAATCTAATCTCGATCGCGTTAACAAGATTTTCCGGTCACATAATACATCCATGGAAAAGAAAGAGTTCTATAATGTTCTACTCCCCAATCCTTCACACCAAATTTCTTGCAGTCGTTATGGTTCACTCCAAATTTAAAAAAAAACCACACATTAAAAACGGTAGCCGCTATCGCGTTATAACACGTTTATTTTTTAGAAAATGGGGGTAACTCCGGAATGGAGGGTTGCGGTTTTCCGGAGTAAAGGAGTATCTCCGGAACGGAATCTCGCAGGACGCTGAATATCGATAGGGTTTATCCTCTGATGATAACTTTAATTTTTCACACCAAATTTAAAAAAATCCGTTAAAAACTATCATATATTTAACAAGGTTTTTGGAAAAGGGGGTGGGTGTCGGTACCCCTCGGAACAGAAAGTCGTGAATGCTGAATATCGATAGGCTTCGTCCTTTCATGACCCCGATGCTTCAAACCGAATCAAAAAATAAATTTGCAAAAAACTATTGCCCCCATCGCGTTAACAAGGTTTTCGGTTAGGTAGCCCTGGAACGGTAGTCCACGGAGCGCTAAAAATATGTATCAAGACGATAACGAAGGTATTTGGGATTATCATCCAACCAGACTGAGAATTTATTATATAGATCTTGTTCATTTCTCTAAATATACAACATGTAAGAAGTTGCTCGCTGAGGGGAAATAATGATCTATTAACTCTGTGTTATTATGATGAACATCATAAAGTTGACAATATACTTTGTTTATGTGCTTGTTGAAATTCACGTCTCACACGGCTATGAATTATCATAAACACAATAACTATATATATATTTTTAACAAAAGGAGCCAGACTTTTCTGGGAGAAAGATGGTTGGGTATGGAGTTACACAACTCGGGTGATGCATTATTATAGGTTTCTCAGCAGGAGACCCCCTTAATATAACGTTTTGTTAGATATAAGAGATTTTCAACAACGCATTACTGCGACAAATAATTATATATCTGGTCACGGAATTTTTGAATTATTATGCGGTCATACAATACTCAAACCTAAACCGTCAAAGACGAAGACATGTCAACAGAAAGTGTAATTGATGGAGAAGGGTGTTCTTGTGTCACCGACGTTGTTACATGTGTTCGTTGGGTGATTGTTGTCACTATCGTTTAGCTAAATGCGATACGAAAATTACCGTTTATCGCTTTTGATAATATGCAGAACACAACTGCGGGCATAGTCTGTTACATTTGATAATAATAAACAAAAACTCCACAATACAATGGGTTAGGAATCAGTAAAAAAATAGCTTTTCTGTGGCTGTAATTTTGTTGTCTGAGAAAAGGGATAAAAAATTTTTCAGTTAAAGACGAAAAGTTGGGTTGATTATCGAGAGGTAAATAATAATAATAGAGCCGGGATAATTTTTTCTCGAGATTTCTGCCTGGAGAGTCTCTTGAAATTCCATATGGGTTGGTGCCATCTAGGCTGTGGACCAATGAAATTCAAGGGTTTAGGTAAGGGATTCGATCATCCAGTATTTAACTGTCCTAGCAGGTTAGTAAGAGCCGTTGAAATGAAATATTACCATTGGACACTATATCTCAAAAGCCACTATTGCGACTTTAACCAAGAAAATGCTCCATTTTCAACCTATACTAGACTTGCACCTCGTTCACGTCTGGCTTTTCAAATGGCAGATTTGTCTGTGATATTACCCTATGTGGAAGCGGACATAATGCCCCAGAAAAAGAGAAAAAGAATTGGCGAGAAAGATAGTTTACATTAACTGCTACCAGGCTAATTAGCCCATGTACGTCGATCCGTTCATAATAGTGTCAAATAAAGCATATGATTTCATGGAACTTAGTGACATTTAGGTCATTTAATTCCCACTAGAGCGCTCTAAACCCATTACCTATTGTTCTATATAAACAATTTCACGCAGTAGCTACTATTCGCATGTAAATAGCAATCGCACGTGACATTAGCCTATATCCATGAAATGATAAAGACCCGAAATAATAGCCATGCAAAGCGTGGAAACACGCCCATACAGCAGCTATGTTTCGTCAGCAGTTAGTCCAAGAAGAAAACTGTGATGTTGACCAAATTTGATAAGGATCATTTTCACCTTTAAGAAATCCGATTTCTATCGTGTTCACAAGCTTGGAAAGATCCGTTAACAGTAGCGTATATCACGTTAGCAGGGTATTGATGGAATGTATGTTTACTCAGGAATGGAATGTCACAGTACGCCGAATATCTATAGGTTCGTACTCTCATGCTAACCGCCATATTTGAAAAAGATCCGTTAAAATTTATAGCCTCTATCGAGTTCAAAATGTTTCCGAGTGAAATAACTCTAGAACGGAAGGTTGCCAAACCCCGAGTGGCTGAAGAGTGGACGAAATAGCTAAATATAGTTTAAAGTAATTGTGTGGTACTATGGTCTTTGTGACCATATTGCATCTTTAACTAATTATCGAGTTCACATACACACAAGAAGTCATATCTAATGCACCCAAAGAGTTATAATTTGGTAAACATAGCTGGTTCCGTGGGAATCAGAGTATCATGTTTAACCATAAAACCAAATTCATTATTTGCAGAATCTTAAGTCGTGACGTAAGCAAATCTGTTAAAAAGCACAAACCAGTCATTTAAGATTTAGATATCACTGGGTTCCTGAGAGACTACCATCTGAGTTCCTACACCATATGATGTAGCGGTTTCCTGAGTCTAGCCATGCTGGTTAGACTTTTACAGGAGTTGGGGTTGAGAGAAAGATATTAATTTTAAGTATGCTAATGTAATCTATTATGGTTTGTACCATATGTATTCAGCTTGACATAAAAATGTAGAACTGAACTGTTGCATTGTTAATCCTAGTAGGACGAACGTCTTAACTAATTAGGAGATAATCGTCTTAACGGCGAAGATAGTACGAAGAACATACACAACTTGAAAAGGAAGCAAAAAGACAATTACAAATACTAGACGATCACAAGACTATTAAGATATGTAGTATGACAAGAGTGCATGGATGTGAAGCTTTGTGTTCATGGGAGAGTTGATCGTGTTGATATTCAGTGTTCGACAACCCTTTTTTTACCAGATGTATGTCCCCTTTTCCGAAAACCTTGTGAATGCGATAGGTGCTACAGTTTTTGAAGGATATTTTTCCAAATTGGGGGTGAAACATTATTTACATGTGAGGAGTAACCGTTTAGATAGAGGCTACACTTTTTATCGTAATTTTTCAAATTTTGTGTGAAGCATTGTCGTCATAAGAGGAGGAACCCTATCGAAATTCAACTTCTATGACTTTTCGTTCCAGAGTAAATTACCCCTTTAAATTTGGTGTGTAGCATTCGGGTTTTGGGAGGATGAACCCTATCGATATTCTTCATTTCAAAACCTTCCAAACCTTGTAAATGCGATGGGTGCAAGCGTTTTTAACAGATTTGGTTTGAAGCATTAGATCCTATCGATATTCAGCGTTCCAGAGTCAACATGGTGTTAAACATTCGGGCTATGTGAGGATGAACCCTATAAACAATCTGCGTTTTCCGAAAAACCGCTAACGCGATAGAGGCAACGGCTTTCAACAGAATTTTTCAAGTTTGTGAAAGATCAGATTTCTCGAAGGATTCTTATCCTTATCAAATGTGATCAAAAGCGAAGTTTTCCTTTCGGATAAGCAGCTGTTGGCAATCTGATGAAAATACAGATCTATATTTCGTTTAGCTTTTTATACTTTCGATGGCCTACACTACATGAAGATCTAACCAGTTGTTTTGGGAGGTCGCGTCAGAGGTCAAACGAGCAGTTTTTGACCCTTTGATGTCAGATATTTGATTAACCAATCAGCATTGTTCTTTCTAGTGGATTGATTACCCACAGTTCCGTGCACCTCACGCCAAAAAGATCGCCGCAACAGACCGTTTCATTGGCAAATCCCTCACATCACCCAGAACACGTCAATGATAACAACTCTTCCAAATCCTAGTGTAGTAAGGAAAGGTAAAATGAAATTTTGAACTATAAAAAATCAAACGAAATAGGATCGTGTTTTAATCACATTGCAGCTTTTGGGCACATTTCCACATTTTGTTGGGCTATCTTTATTTAATGTTATGTAATGAAATTCTTACATAACTATCAGAATAGGTCACCACTGGTATGAAGGAGAATCGATGAAAAATTAACGTTAGTTTACAAGTCCACGTGTTTGTCAAATGTCCATCATTCTTAAAATCGGTCAGATGGAAAGATCTCCTTAACTAAACTGTGTCTGTAGAGTAATAAAAATACCCTTTATTTGTGATAGACTACTCATTCACTTTAGTAATTATATTATAAAAATTGTTATGGTTCAATTCTTTAGTAGTATTTAATGCGTTTTCTTTTCTAGCAGGTATTATTTTCACAATATATCAAATTAAGAATGATAAGTACTAAGCTGTCAAGCGCCAATTCTGTCTGAATCATTACAAGCCGAAGTAATAGATCCGTTTTGTTCAACATTTAAGTAAAGATCAATGCTTGGTATTAAAGTATTATATCCCCGGGTGACAAAAGGGAATCCAATCCTACTGATGAAGAGGTCTCGGGTTCTCATCAGCTTATGGCGAATCAATGTTAGGAACAAGTGAACCTCTTGTGATTTCTAGTTTTGAAATAATCCCACAAAAATGTAAGATATATCACCATACATTATCCTAGATCAACATCTTTCGTTTCATTTAGTTTTGACACATTCCTTCATTTTATCAAATTTTAGGATGAATAAAAGAATATCCGAAAGGAAAAAGGTTATGTATTCACCTGCGACAAACTAAATTAAATACAGTGCACGCGTAAGATGGTTTTTTTTTGGTGTGTATAATAAATATAATAATCATCTTAGGCGTGTTAGTTGTGCTATTTTATAAAAAAACATATTACGGGGAAAGATCTCCCTTGGTGCAAGTTGACAAATGTATTGTCGTTATTCAGTATACAGCTATTCAAGGAAACTGATTCGTATCCCACCTTTAAAAATATGTCTTACTGGGAGGCGATATTTATGAAAAGTTTTACAGATTTTCTTTTTTAATTTGGAAGCTTGTCTCTAAAATTATTGGGCTGGTCTTCCTTGTTAATTGTTTTTAAAAAAATGTTCAATCTCTGTATTTAAAAATACTTATCAAAATTACCACCTCCATGGCAACAAAAGCGTAAATGTGAAACGAGAGATGCAGTTTTTACAGAGAGTTAAATCTCTTGTTCGTATGCGTTTATTAGTAACAATGAAAAGTAGACGACTATTCTGCAACGAGATATTAATCATTGACACAGCTTGGCTTTGACGACATGGTCTGTACATAATGTTGACATTTCGAAAGATACCTGTGGGCGAACCTAGCCCAACCCATCACAATTTTAATTCGGTAATAATTATAAAACAATAAATATATCACATAATGCCGCATTAAAATAGTTATAATTTTGGAAACAGAAAGTAGTCGTGATTGATACCGGAGGACTTGGAATGAATGCTCGAATCTGGCCTGGAAACAAAACTCTGGGCATTATTCAATGTATACCACTGCTTCGTCTGTTAGCAATTATTTTGAGCATTACATGATGTGTCCTGCGGTGGTTTTAGATTTCCATAAGTACATAAGGTTTGGCGACTGCACAATTTATCAATTGTTTTATTTGTTCAACAACACTGACCCCCCCCACCCAAAAACAAAAAGACAAGCCCTTTACTCGACAAAAGATTATATTTTATGAAATATGTATATGTAGTTTATGTAAGTAATATGTGTGTATATTATATTATGTGATGTGTATATTATATTATGTGATGTGTATATTATATGTAATATGTATATGTAATATATAAGGGATATTGGAATATAAAATCCCAGCTTAATGTATTATTATATGACTACTTAAAATCTCCTGTTGCCCAATTTTAAGCATAGATTATGAATGTTATTAAAACATAAAATCAATTATTAAAATAAATAACGAATCTCACCGACCATTAACTGTTCACGGTGGATATCTGGTAACGTTTATGGGCACACTCGTCGTGGTATCATTTTTTTTTCTAAATTAAGGCAATTTTTAGTAACTTTGGTGTAGTTTTATATTTAATTGAGGATCACAATAAATTCGACATTTTAATTTTACTATTTTAATTAACTTTATATTTTCTTTTATATTTTACAGCCCACGGTGGCATCTACTTCGACTTTGACCAAATAGCTCTAAAGAATTTCGACCAATTTCGGCAATATGACTTTGTGATGGCCCACGAAAATATACATAATCTCGGAAATGCTGTGATAGTGTCTAAAAAGAATGCCCCCTTCATTGACCTGTGGTACAATAATTATCATACATACAATCCTACAGAATGGGGAATCCATTCGACTTTTGTGCCATTTAGAATAGCCAAAAAACATAAAGATTTAATACATATAGAAAAAGAAGCCTTCTTCAAACCGGACTTAGGGACTATTCTAAAACTATATACTGGGAATATAGATTTAAGTAAAAATCATGCTATACATTTATATGTAAGATGGATTAAAAAATACTACACTTTGGGCCAGTTGCAAAAAATGAACACCACTCTAGGAGAGTTGGCTAGATATGTCCTTTATGACTCCAAGAACCTATGCTCATGATCAAGCCTCCTGCTTCTTCGACAAGTTATACATAGTGGGGAAAATAAATAATTCCTTTACGGGTGCCAACGACAAAACTGTGCTGTGCATGTAACGATTCAGAAGGCGGTGGACCGTTTGTATAATTGATGTGGAAAGGGTAATCCAAATGGAATGTGGAATACATGTCATGCTAAAGCTACGGGTTTAGCTTTTTCCCGAAAAACACATATTCTTGGTGGAACCGCAAAGAATATGCAGGCACAATGTAACGAGAGTGAATTTATAACGACGAAAAAAAGGTATTGCACCAATAGGTGCTATGAAAATAGTCGAAGTATAATACACAATCTGGACAAACTGATTGAAAAAAATGCCATTAATTGTTTAATAAATTATTAGTTTCTATTTTGCATTGTTTCTATTTCTTGTACCTATTGAGATTTAAAGATATTTTTTTTGGACAATCGCGGTTTTTATTTTATATAATTATAACCGTTATTAAGTTAAAATAGTACATATTATTTTCCAGTTCTAGTTAATCATGTTGCAGCTAAGTACTACAGGGGGATTCTGCTAAAAGTCTCAAGATGTTAAAGATGCATTATGTAAAGCTAAATCAGCATGTATTTCGTTTGTTATATAAATGATTAATTAGACATTTATTCACATAACATCGGATGGTCGCGAATTTCAGTGGATTGAAACACGATCACCATTTAATTTATAAATGGATAATCGATAATCGAGATATGTTTATTATCGTACCAATGGTACCTGAGAAAGGATACTTTATTGTGAACACTTCAAAGTCTGATAACTCTCCCAGAAACGAGTATTTTGACTAAAATTTAAATATATTCTATTTTCATTATTTATTTCTGAACTATTATTGCAAGAACGGACAGCGCTTTATCTAAATCTTTGATAATGTATCTTTAAAGTTATCAAAAAAAATGTGTGATATTTCCCAAAGAAAATATATTAAGTGTAATAATAAGAAAGGTACCGCACCATAACGATAGGGTCTGTGTATTAATGCCGTGAACAATGTTTAATACCCCGACCCGTCTTATAAATTATTATACCATTTCTTTATCAGACATGACAGTGGGCTATTGGTATATACATAATAAAAAACTTTATAGCCACACAAAACACAATAGTATGGCTTAAATACCCACAGAGGTGCTTTACTTACAGAATAAAGTATAATACGGTGACCACCGATTTGGACCCCCATAGCGATAAACACCACTCTGAATCGTCAACCCTAAGAACTAATCGCCTTAAGATTTTTATCCTAAATGTAAGAACAATGTACTTGTGTCTTGAGATATTTGAAACTTTCATATTGAATTATTATTCGTTCCGTTAAATGAATAGATAGTCTAATGGTTTAATCATTTTACCAGTGGTCACCAGCTGAAGAGGTCTAGTTACAACGCTGGAACATGATAAAAGCTTAATAAAAGAATTAATAAGTGTCACTAGCCATTATCTCCATATACCATTTTATGACCGTTACAATAACCTGCTCACTCATGTGTAACCAAGAAAAGACATTGGACACCCAATTTGTATACCATTATAATATTATCCAATCAGAATTATTCATTGAATGATCTACTGCAGGATGTAGAAGTGATCAGAAACAAATGTTGTCCCCTCAACTTTCGGAGAAAGTTTTCTACTTTGACATTTTCTGCTTAGATTAACTGATTAACCGATGCTTTTGGGTACGATAACTTTGATTCTAATTGACTGAGAGTGATGGAACTGGGTGTATAGTTTCATTTTATCAATACCTTGATTAAGTTCGATGATGAGGATTTTTTGATTAGCTATAAACAATTTGATTGGTCATGTTCCTCAATGGATCGGTTCTTGGGTGTATCATTTTAATCATTTCCCAATGCATGTATTCAGATACAACGTTATTTCGATAATGTTATTAAAATAATAATAAAATAGCCATCTACACACGCATAAATAATGAATAGAACAAGTATGTACTAGTGACCATCGTTTAATTATGAAAGGCCTTGAAATAAATAGGTATTGCTCTACATAGATTGCATACGTTATTTTCGTAATCTATATTGTTATGCATGCAGTAAAACGCTGATACCAGTTGTGGTAGCAGATTGCTTCGTATTAAACGTAAAGTTTATATTTTATACAGTGATGTGCACCGGAAATTCAATAGATGTACTAATGTAGTGTTGATATCGCAATAAAAATGATCATAACACGTAAATGAAACCCCTTTTCAGGAGGCCATGGTGGCTAAGTGGGTAAGACGCTGGCTCGCTAGCCTGGAGGCCGCGTGTTCGATTCCTGCATTGGCCGAGAATGTTCATCGGGATTTTGCGACGTGGTTTCCGCTTGTCAGTGGTGCAGGACGGAGGGCATGACAAGGACAGCTGTCTAGTCGTTCGGATGGGACGGAAAACCGAGGTCCCGTGTATACATTGAAGTGAACATAAAGATCCCTTGACAGTTGGAATTTAATATAAGAGCAGGACATAGTGCCGCTGCCCAGGCAAAATTTCCCTCATAGCACACTTTATGGCGTATGTCCGTCTTCATTATAGCCCAGTCGCAGCAGAATAGTAGGAAGTTAAACCCAATTTCATTTCATTTCGAACCCCTATTTACTGCAAACCTAAAGACAAACTATTGCGTGGAAACCAATCAATCCGTTCAGTTATATTTGTCTACCATGGGCTTAGTGAATGGGAAGCAATTGCGCTCTTTGTAATTTCTGTAGAAAAATAAAGTGAAACTGAAAACCAGATATTAGTTATTAAGGTGCAAGATATATATACTATTCAAAAAAAGTAGGGGATATTTGATTTTTAAGTGTTATTAAAGTCACCTAATGAAACTGACGAAGAAACAAATGACAAAATGAAATGAAGTTCACATTCATTGATTTATTCCAAATGATCGTTAGACTAAGTAAGGCACAGACTGACCATTATAAGGGTAAAATGATACCCGGGGTCAAACAGCAAAGTTACCACAGCATCACAACCACGTCAGTAACGGGTAAATCCTCCTCTGTTTGCCAAACAAGCATTGATCCGACGTGGCATACTCCTAATGAGACGTCTTAGGTCATTTTGGTCCAGATTGTCCCATTCCTGTTGCAACGCAGCAGCAAGTTCTTGGACATTGGCAGGACGTTGTTGACGTTGACGTAACCTCTGTCCAAGCATGTCCCAGACATGCTCGATGGGGGAGACGTCGGGACTCAGTGCTGGCCAAGGTAATGTGGTGATGTTCTGTTGTTGGAGGTAACCTGTAACGATCCTGGCCCTGTGACATCTTGCGTTGTCATCCTGGAAGATGAAACGGCGGCCATGACGTCGTGCGAACGGCACAACATGGACTGCCAAGATGTTGTCCCGGTAGTACTGGCCTGTAACACGCCCTGCAACAACATGTAAAGCCGTTCTTCCAGCAACAGTGATGCCTCCCCACACCACAACAGAACCACCCCCAAATCGATCATGTCTGATGACGTTAACGTTTTGAAGCGCTCGTTTCGACCACGCCACACCCTCCTACGTCTGTCCAAAAAATCAACAGTGAACCTTGACTCATCTGAAAACATCACATTGCTCCAGCGTCGATTATCCCAGTGTTGACGATCCCTACACCAACGACGTCTTGCCTGAATGTGATGATCTCTCAAACAAGGGATCACGCGAGGACGTCGGGCGCGAAGGTGACCCCTATGCAGTCGATTCCGAATCGTCTGGCCACTCACTCTCATACCAGTGTCTGTTTGAAGACGAGCGCTGATCTGATTTGCTGTGATGACACGATTTCTCAAGGCCAAGGTACGGATAAATCGATCCTGGGCTTGAGTTGTCGCCCTTGGTCGACCTGAGCGTGGTCTGTCCTGTACAGATTGTGTATCACGGTATCTGGACCATAGCCTGCTTATGACAGACTGAGAAACATTCATCGTCCGCGCCACAACCGCCTGTGTTGTGCCGATCTGTAGCATGCCAAGGGCACGTAACCTTTCATTTTGGGTAAGCCGACGCATATCAAAATTTGTTTTCTGGTCACTAAAACAATTAAACTGATGTTTCCACCCTGGAATTCAATGCCACAATGACTGTAACATTCAAAGTCAGAGTCGTGTAAATCTTGGGTTGGACCCCCATGATGATCCCAAGCATCACATGCATTCCATGCGGTAGCTATTGGTGCGTTTGGGCGTCACATGTAACTGGAAATGTTTCTTCTGTTAGGTTCTATAGTGACTTTTTTCGTAGTCATTTGCATATTTTAGTATTATGCCCCCAAAATCAAATATCCCCTACTTTTTTTGAATAGTATATATATTTAATTTTTAAGTTGATGCATCATAGAAAACGAAAAAGTTGCTGTGGTACTCAGAATATCACCACTTATTCAAACATTTGTCCACCCTTTTTTGGCAGTTTGATTGGAAAAAAGATTTGGGATCTTGAAACGGAAAGAAATGAAATGGGGTTTAACGTCCTACTGTTCTGCGAGAAACGAAAAGAAAGGGAACTTAAAATAACCAGTGTTTATTTTTTACAATGAATTTAATCGGCAATTTATTTTTTTATTTAATGTTGAAATTAACAATTAATAATTAAGGCGTCATTATGGATGTCACAAAAATGGAGATAAACTTTATCCTTGTACAGCCGGGTAACAGAGCTCGTATATGGTTTGACAAAGTCGCGATTGTTATCTTAGTATACAGATTTTTGATTATTTTATCCTATTAACTATCGTTGCATCTAAATGTAAATAAAGATTTAATCTATCCCCAATAAAAATATTTTACCTATTTACTTGTACCTGTACAGCAACCACTTTTTAGGATGAAGGTTAGTATATTTTTTTTTATTCCCGGGCCAGTTTCGTCTGTTGGACAGTAATAATTCCCATATTGTCTGGAGAAAAATAAGAAAATCTAAACTAAATTTAGCATCAACATGCTTTATGTAGTGATGGACGTCATCTTAGCTTTTGTTCATCCCTTGCAAATTAAGAATCGTGGCCTGTAGGCAACACACAGACACACAAAGAAAAATGGGTGTGGCTGTCCCTGGGGATCGGGCCATCACCAAAAAACAATAGTGATCATGCTTAGGGTATAAGGCACAGGTTTGCAAAGTTTCAAAATGATCGATAAAAATTGCGGCCTGTAGGCGACATACATCCACACAAAAAGAAAATCGGCGTGACTGCCCCTGGGGGTTGGGCATGCACCGGGTATAAAGAATAATTATGTAAAGTTTCAAGATGATACGCTAAGAAATGTGGTCTGTAGACGTTAAACAAACAAATACAAGAAATGAGCGCGACTCTGTCCCCGGGGGTCGGGCACGCACCAAAAACAATAGGGGTCATCCTTAGGGTACAAGGAATAAGTATGTAAAGTTTCAAGACGAATTGGAGCCTGTAGGCGACACACAGACAATGGCGACGGCAATATTGACCTAAAAATGGTTCAGTTCCGTTCAGTATTAACAAAGATAAGATGAATTGAAATTTGTCATCATTCAACATCTGCGGGCAGTGGGATAAAGTCAACACAAGCTAGCACCGCCTATGATTTTCACTGTAATATTTGGGTTATCTATCTCTCAAATTTTGATTTCTTAATTAAATGTAAAATAATCAATTTGAATTCATTTTAGAAAGGAATATTTGGTATTTTATAAAATGCAAATGACACACAAAGACCTATAGCGGGATCTACAATAATAAACTAAGCCTTTGCTATCTATTTCCAAGTATGTATACTGCCTAGGGTAGCCTTACAACTATGGTTCGCGTACGACCGACATGAAAATATGTTCCTTGAACAACTGCGCATTCAATTCCAAAATGGACCTGATGACGACATGAACGAGTCCTGGTTATGAATAAATAATGCCTTTATGATACAAAACAGATCTAGTATTCACTGGTTTTAGGCACATCCTGATAAATTCCACCCTGGTTCGATTATAATAATCCGCTGTGTGGGTGCTGTCAAATGAAATTTCTGATCCACAAGTACGGTTAAACGAATTACATCCGCGTGTTTCTAGCAAGTCTTGGTGAAATAATCACGTTTCACTGGCACAACCAACATATTTTATTTTGGACATTCTTCATAATTTCAGAAATTAGGCATAAGCTACACTGCCTGTATATTTGGTACTACTACTTATTTACAATGGAAGTTCACGTATTGAAAATACATGTAATTATGTTGTATCTTTTAATAATAATCCTGTCATCTCTTAAATTATACTGTGAGAAGTTAATAATGCAAATGGCTGATCATATGACTGCAGACGGCTATAAGGATGTCGGATATGAATATATTTGTATTGACGACTGCTGGCCATCAAAAACAAGAGGTGCTGATGGTCGACTTGTACCAGATCCTGCCAGATTTCCCAGTGGAATGAAAGCTTTAGCTGATTATGTAAGTTATTAAATACAGTATTATTATCAATTAGCGTCCTTGGTGACGATGGAACGTGGTATACAAATGATCTTAGAATTCGTGAATTACTTTACAATTCTTGTTCTAGATCTCTGCAATTACCGGGAATTGTCTACAGTCGGGTGGTGGTACCTTGGGGCTTGTTCTTAGATGTTCACCCCCGTCTTCATTGACCCAATCGGTGCAGAAAGCAAGACGTTAAACCCCGTTTTATTTAATTTCATTTCATAGGTTCACAGTAAGGGCTTAAAGCTAGGCATTTATGCAGATTTTGGCCATTCAACATGTGGTGGATATCCTGGAACTGAATTCTATCTTGAGACTGATGCCAATACATTTGCAGAATGGGATCTTGACATACTGAAACTTGATATATGCTATTCTTCAGCAGGAGATTTTCAATACGCTAAGTTTTCTGTGAAATAACTTCGCTAAAAGTGGCCCATGTGCAGAAGTGTGGTAAGAGAATTGAAAGATCAAACATCTGAGATTATCTATTATAGAGCTTTTAAAATCGCCCTGTAATTATTCATTGGTATCTCATATGACAATGAAATTTTAGTGTAATGTTTACCACACAAAGCTCTACCGTAAATTGTTTGATTATTTTTAATACTTCTGTATTCTGTATTCCAGGTTTCCCTTCAATGGAATTTTACCTTAATCGTACTGGTCGTCAAATGGTATTTTATTGTGAATGGGATATAAATGGCGGAGTAAGATACGTTATTAGTATTCATTGTGAAAAATGATACATAATTGTCTGGTTAGGGTGTGGCGCATAATGTAGAGTTGATTAACAGCACGTTAAGAGAAGTATACATGCGTAGATATTATTTACAAGAAACTATCACAATTCTTGGCTATTGTTATTGTTTGGTTAAAACATCATAGGCGTATTGTGTCTTAATGTAGTTCCTCTCCAAATCATATGTGACTTTTATCAGGTTTCGCTATGACATAGTGGTGTTAAAGCATGTATGTGACATTTTGTGGGGCATGTGTCAATTTTCTTTAGAAGGAGTCGACGATTTTTCTATTACAGAATCACTTTCTGATTATCCCGCCACTGCTACTCCTAATATAGGTTAAATACTGACTAGACAGTTATGTGTCGTTTATCTTTGATAATAATTAACGACGGAAACCTTTAGATTTTTTAAACTCTTCAGAAAGGCCCATTTATCATGTGTTAAATGTGAAATAAACGTATTCTTTAATCCCACTGGTCAGTACCAATCCCTTGTTCACGAGTGTTTCGTAGTTACAGACATTAGACAGCAGAGGGCGTGGGTTTTCTACATCCCTTAGTAACCACCCTTTCCATTAAGTGATATTGGAGAATTATTCTGTCTAAAGCATCTTGAAATTATTTTCTTAGCATCGCAGTAATAATCCCCCCCCCCCTTTACAGTACGCTCAACAGATTTTGGCAAACACGCTGCACTAATTCGGAGTTGGACAAGGTGTTATAAAACTGTCCATTGTACTGATGCATCAGCAAGTTGGTAAAGATGCGTGTCGTGTTTCTTCACGACCCGAGTATTATGCCTAAAGTATATTAGGTTCATTTTCAAACAATCAAATAACTCATCTGAATCAAGATACCACCTCCCCTCCTCATTAATTTTTCTAGTATAAAGTCTAGAGATACTGGCTGTAACAGTTGCTAAATTTTCCTTTAGGCTAATTATACTCAATTAGCCAAAACATGTAATATGTGGAGAATAGGAGAGAGAGAGAGAGAAATGGGGTTTAACGTCCACTCGACACAAACTAGGTCATTTCGGGACTAACATATGGTTTAACTTTATTTACATAATTCGCTTGCGCGTAGGGGTCTTTAGCAGTGGGAGGAAACCGGAGGCCCCGGAGAAAACCCACGAGGTTGGACAGGCGACCCTACTCCTTGCCACGTACAACCGGGGATTCGAAACCACGCCAGTCGACTCAATGACAGACTTTATGATACAGCGCGCGCACGCTAACCATTCAGCCATCCAACCCCCCGTGGAGAATAGGCAGTGACATGCAAGATTATTGGGGTAATGTTCAGTTTATTGTTGATGTGTATGCAAACAATACCAGAAACTTTAGTGGCTTTACTGGACCGGGAGGATTTGCTGATGCTGATTCGGTAAGCGGTAACTAAATATAAAAGTTGTGAAGCTGCGAAACTTAATTGTTTATTTCAACTTTAGCTGTAAGTTCCTATTATTTTAAAAGAAATAAACCTCATAAATACGATTATCTCGTTGCATGAGAGGTTCTAAAACGGACGATTTGTTATCTTCATCTTCTACAGGTAATTGTTGGGCTGTACGGGTTGAGCCCGGATCAGGAACGGGCTCATTTTGGAATGTGGTCAATGTTTGCTCCTCCTCTGCTAATGGCTGCTGATTTAAGGTCAATTAGAAATGAATCCAAGGCTTTGTTACAGAACAAAAATATACTAGCTATCAATCAAGATCCACTTGGTAGACAGGCCACTTTAACAATGAAGGTAAGGGTCTGTATTCTAAGCGCCGACTGGATATCAAAAAGCATTCTATTTGTTCTGTAGGGGGAAATGTTTACTCGATTCTTGCTTTCAGACGAGATACTCACTTTTAGATGTTCGTTTAAGATATCCTCTTAGCACGCCTGTTTGTCGGGTTAAAGGTAGTCCATTGATCTGAACATTTGGATAAAGATTAACAAAATTGCAGTTGGGGCGAGTGTGCGCACGTGTGGGGACAAAGCATTTTACACCAACAAAGATTTTTTTTCAGTTAGGCCAAGACAAATCTACGTATTTTTAAAAGAACTAACTGGTGGTAGAACAGCCGTAGCATTATTTAATTCAGATTACCATGGACAACCTGTTAGAGCCACGTTCATGCTCAATCAACTTGGATTAACAAATGGAAATGGTTACAGCTTCACAGACGGATTTACATGTATGGCTCGTGGAAAGTATATGCCTGCAACAGAAATAAATATAGATGTTAACCCGACTGGCATAGATATATTTATAGCAACTCCAGTGCAAATATTACTGGAATGACATGCCATGGTTTATGGGAAGTGTTTATCTGTAACAGAACTACCTATAAACTTTACAGGCATAATTGTACATGTATTTATAGCAATACCAATATTAAGGGCTTACTGAAGAAATATTGTTTAAAATGCCAGTCTTCTCGGTTTGTTTTTAAAAAATCCCAACATTTTCAATATATAAAGCAATAACAAATTAATAACAATTCTCATTGTAAACAGATGAATATCACTGAACTCTAATTTATTTCTGACAAAATATTTTGTATGATTCTTAAGCAAATTTAAATACAAAAAAAAAGTTTGTAAACGTATTACTCACCCTGGTCAGAATAGGACAGTAAGGAACACATTACAAAGTTCCCCGATTAGAAAATTCAAACATAGAAGGCCTTTTATGTACTGCTAAAAGCATAGGCTATTATCTCATCTAAGAAAAATATAGTAGACACTGTATTATATTTATGTCCTGCCAAAAACATAGTTAACCAGCTTTACAGTAGATTGACAATATCTATCAACATATGCTATAGGACTACTAGTAGAATCTTTAGGGCCAACTAAGATAGTATCCTATGATCAAACAAGAACGCAGTACGCAATTATGTTCAGCAAATACCATAGTAGAATCTCTAAGCATTATCCAAACATATAGAACGTCTATGCACCTCTAAAACTAAAACAAAGTTCGCCCTCTCTATCCAAAATAGAAAATAATCATTGGACCATCTATACCCAACGAAGTACGCACTATCAAAACTACAGTAAAATCTATGCACTACCAAAATCATCCAAGATCCTTATCCCCATACAAAATCCATTGATGGATCTAGCCAACAACACTGTAAACGCTCTAGGATTTTGCGTTTGCTTTAGACGCTCTGTCATTGAGTCAAGTGTTGTAGCATCGGCCTAAGGGCAGTCTTTCCAACCTTGTGGGTTTTGCAAGAGACATCTGGCTTCATCCGCACCCCCAAAGAACCCTGCACGCAGGGGAATTGTTTAAAGAAACATATTCGATGGTTGATGCTTTGGGAAGCGACAACTTTGATTCTAATTGAGGGAGGGGTGGAATTTGACTAAGTTTAATGATCAGCAGTTTGATTGCTTGATGCTTTTCAAAAAGAGAAATGTGCAATTAATTGAAGAAGCATTAGGTAAGATTCGATAAAGGGCTGACAGTTCTCGCTATAATAGTTAAGAAAATAGATAATAAAAAAGCCCCAGAATATGCTGAAAGTTTCAGTCAAATTGTTTCACTTTGAACCGAGATATTAGCGATTAAATTTTAGGCTAGCCTCTATCGTCATTACTACCGTTGGTACGATAATAAAAAAAAGTCTCGGTTATCCAATTTTATGTTTAATAATCCACTACAAACGTATTCCAATCCACTAATCATCGCAACGAGATCTTGATAAGTTAATAAATGTCTAATAAAGAAAGGCCTATAATAGGATGATTCACCTCTTGCATAATGCATGTTTAATTAATGTGCGTTATCTATTAATTTTTGAATTGAGACGACGACTGTTAAATTGTTTTCTTTCGTATGCTATTTAAGTATTATCAACTATATCCATGAGATAATTTATTGCTGATTGTTATTGTATATACATGTATATCAAGGTCTCATCTTATCTTATATTAGCCTAATAATCTAATTATTTTCATCATGTAAATATCTTTTTGTGCGGCCATTTCTTTGATTATTATATAGATAATCGTTGCATTACAAAACAGTATATAGCTGAGTTCTACCGTGACATTAAAAAGACCAACAGCAGCTTTAACATGATGAAGGTAAGGTGCAAGTACTGGTTTAGATTTTTTTTAACAAATTGGACCATTTATATCTGATGAAACCAGTTTGAAACAGGTCTTGTTTTATACCTTCATTTCAATGTGGGTGTATTGTGCCGTCACACATGTTCGTCGGTATGTCAGTTAGTGAACAAAATAGTTCGTTAACGCGACCGAGGCTACATCTTTTAGCTGAGTCTTTTACAAATTTGATGTGAAGCATTAGGACTATGAGGGGGTTAACACTATCGATTTTCAAAATTGGTGTGAAACATTTGGATTTAAGAAGATGGCCCTTTCGATATTCAGTAATCTAAGACTTTCAGTTCCAGGGATATATTTTGTGTCCGGAAGGCATAGCTGCTCTGTGGCTTTGCGTAGGTACATTTTTGTTTTCCGAGAACAATTTCAAATTTGTCAAACGGCCATACAAGTTTATGCAACAGAACAAACTATGACAGGAGGCGGTTTTGAACATGGCGGACAGTAGTTTTAGCATTTGCGCGAATCATCATATTTAAATTGTTTTGTCGGCCATTTTACATAACAAGGATAAGTCCCCCTGGCTGTAGGAATATGGCACACAGCTTGTAGGTCCTCTATGTTTATTACACAATAATCGCGGATGAGTACAATGTTGGTGGATATAAGATCGTAATTTCCGGTTAAAGCTGCCCCTCCCCCTTAAGCAAAAAGTGAAAAAGCATGTTATTCATATACCAAGGGTTTTGACCCTCCAGAATATACCATTTTTGTCCAATTGAGATTAAATTCAAAATATATGTTAATGGTCAACATATCTCTGATGCGAATTTGGTGCTCATCAGACGGCAACTTCTTGGGTTATGGCCTCTGCCTTTTACGCAAAATGTGTAACTTGTTGGCCTTCTAGTGTGATGAATTGGGAACTTAAAAACGTCAATGCTAACGATTCTCACCATTCTCTGTGTTATTCTATCCGTCAGGGAGGGCCCCTATCGATATCCGCGACGTTTGGTACCAAAGTTACTCCCTTTATACGAAAAGGTTGTAAACATATAATTTTTAAAAAAAAATCTGTGTGAAGCATTGTGCTCATGAGAGGATGAACCCCATCGGTAATCAGCGTTCTGTGACCGTCAGTTACTATTTTTCCGAAGACCTCGGGAACCCGATATGGAGCATTGGGACAACAAGAGGATGATCTCTATCTATTTTCCACAAAGGTCGAGACATCTACTCTAAACATTACCTTAAGTTTTAACATCTGAATAACACCCAATTTTGAAATTAAAAGGGAAATCTACATCACAAAGTGTATTTTGTTTTAAGAATGCCGTAATTTCATAACGTGCCATGCTTTATTTTCATTCAGTTCTTAGAAGCTATTGCAGTCATCTGTCTTTTAGTGATCGTTACAGAGGCAGCCAATAATGGAGTAGCAAGAACACCGCCATTAGGATGGATGTCATGGGAACGATTTCGTTGCAACACAGATTGCGTAAACTACCCGGATTCTTGTATAAAGTAGGTATATCGGCGATTACTTTTAATTTCGTTTATAGATTTCCATTATAATCTATTTTATTTTGAAAACTTCACCTAGCCATCGTCTGATTATTTCAGATATTATAATACACAAAATATAGATCACTGCCATGAAGATTTACAAAGCAGTGGTTTGGTCAAACAATACAAGAAAACTTCACAAGAAAATAGGCAAAATAAATGACACAAAACATAGCACATGTTGAAAGAATAGTGTTCTTGCTATACACCATGAAAGGATTTATTTGAGATAAAGTATACGGCAGATATTATCTTTTAAACTTTCAGCGAAAGGTTAATAATGCAAATGGCTGATCACATGGCTGCAGACGGCTATAAGGATGTCGGGTATGAATATATTTGTATTGACGATTGTTGGCCATTAAAAGCCCGAGGCGCCGATGGTCGACTTGTACCAGATCCAGCTAGATTCCCCAGTGGAATGAAAGCTTTAGCTGATTATGTAAGTTCTTTCGTTCTTGTTTTTTGTTATCTCGATTCCCATTCATTCTGTTAAGCAAGGACAGTCATACATATAACTTTGCAACCCCAAATATGCTCCAGATTCGAACATTAAAAACTCGAAATAATGTAATTGACTGTTGCGTTGTCGACGATATGAATGAGTATGCTGATCAATTCTGTTAGTCTTATTCTATTCAGCCCAAATTGTCCCCCTTTGAACACAACTAATATCGGGATGACAAAAATAGTGCCGAGTAAATCATCTAGAGGTCATCATCAGATCAAATTCCGACACTTACTGATATTTGAAAGGATATTTTTAAGCAGTTTAAATATGTGTATTTTCTGTAACACATGTAATCTTTATTCATTACCCTTTAGCAATTCGTTTTAATAGTGCAATACAACATCTATTCTAGGTTCATAGTAAAGGTTTGAAAATAGGAATTTATTCAGATTTTGGCCATTCAACATGCGGTGGATATCCTGGAAGTGAATTCTATCTGGAGACTGATGCAAATACATTTGCAGAATGGGAAATGGACATGCTTAAACTTGATGTTTGCTTTTCTTCCTCGGGAGATTTGCAATACGGTACGACTATTTTCTAATATAGCTTAATTGCACTGCTACAGTAAGATATATGTCCCGTGACCGGTTCAGTTACATACGCCGTTGTCCGTGTATCGTTTGTTCTATGTTTAACTGGGTCATTTAATCTACTAACTATATACTTTCTATAACATTCTGCTACCTTAATCATTGGTTGAAGTATCACATGTACACACTTTTATCTATTGTATTCCAGGTTTTCCTGCCATGGAATTTTACCTGAATCGCACTGGTCGTCAATTTGTATTTTCATGTGAATGGGATTGGGGTATGGGTGATGGAGTAAGTATAATTAATGAGGTTAATTGTCCCGATTGCCTCCTGTTCAGTTTTTTAATTGATGTAACCGGGAAAGGACGGCATGCCTTAACGATACTGATAGGAAAAGGTGCCTGTTACAAATGAGACCATTATTGGCAAGCTCGTGTTGGTTTTGCAGGATTATGCAACTGCCTCTTATCATAATATATTAATAGTTTTGTTGAATAGATGCTGTGCATGCACCTTAACTTGAATTGCTCTGGCACGGTGGGAATTTGCACGATCCCCTACGGCTCATGATCTTAGACACACATTTTCTATGTTTTAGGCTAACTACACCCATATGGCAGAGTTTTGTAATATGTGGAGAGTAGCTCATGATATGGAAGATTATTGGGATAATGTTAAATTGGTGGTAGATGTATTTGCCAAAGATTCCCGAAACTTTAGTGCCTTTACGGGTCCTGGAGCATGGGCAGATGCAGATTCGGTAAGTGGCTACTAATTTGACGTGGGGGGGGGGGAGGGTATACGCCTATAACTTTCTTGTCCGCCGCTCCTTCCGTACCGCTCGGTTCACAATTATTGTAACGAAAGTGACTACTAATGGAAGATTATTGGGATAATGTTAAATTGGTGGTAGATGTATTTGCCAAAGATTCCCGAAACTTTAGTGCCTTTACGGGTCCTGGAGCATGGGCAGATGCAGATTCGGTAAGTGGCTACTAATTTGACGTGGGGGGGGGGGGGAGGGTATACGCCTATAACTTTCTTGTCCGCCGCTCCTTCCGTACCGCTCGGTTCACAATTATTGTAACGAAAGTGACTACTAATGTGTGTGTGTGTGTGTGTGATGGTGGTGTTGTGTGTGCGTGTGTGTGTGTGTGTGGGGGGGGGGGTAAGCCTATAACTGTCTTGTCTGTCACTCCATCCGTGCCTCTCGGTTCGCAATTATCGTCACCAGGAGTTAAAATTGGAAGATGATGGAGGTTGGCAGCTAAAAGAGAAAAAAATCCTATAAAATCCATATTCAATTTTTGTCAGAATTGTACAAATTGTACAAATCATAATTTTCCAGTTCAAATAAATGCACAGAATTGTATGCACAGTTAACAGGCTATTAATTCTTAGAAATGTAACCTCAACTCTGCCATAGTATATTTGAAACTGAAGAGTACCTCTTTAATGTCTTTGGAATCACCCTTTGTCATTGATTTAGGATAATACAATTTACACGTTGCTATTAATAAATTGGAAAACTAATCCTACATAAAATATATAAATCATGTAGGTATTGATTTTAACTAAATATACGCCCACATTTCAACGAGTGTATATTATGTAGTTGTCTCTCTCCGTTGGTCAATCCAACAACAATTGACTTGTTCTGTTCCAGATTTACCCTCCTTCTTAAAGCTTCTGACACGACCTATGTTATGTTTCTTGAAGGCATATAACTTATTAATGTGCATGGTAAATAAACAAATTATTCTTTCGGATAAGCTCTCCACTATGGCAGTATTTTTTAGAATTACCCGCGATTACCCCCACCCCCACCCATCACACAGACTTTTGGCGTTAACCATACTTTTTTAATGGATTTTTATCGAATTGGATCTGAAATTATGGACCCTATTGATTTTCAAATTTAATGGGAAGCATTGGAAGCGGCGAAGATGAACCCTATTAATTTTCAGCATTCTAGGACTTTATGTTCCAGTGATATGTATGGAAAAGCTTATGAACAAGATATAATCAGACTTTTAAGCGAAAGGATCCTTATTAAATTTGCAGTTTTCTTTTCGGATAAGTCGCTGACGTTTTTTGTGGAGACATATATACTGCGTGGGCGTATTTCCACGGTTTAGGTTGTCGACAGCTGTGTATATAAAGAAAAATATATATATTGATTAAGGTTTCTTATTTCTTTTCTTCAGATACACATTTCACAAACTTATCTCTGCTTTTGTTTGCCATGTATTAAATATGCATGTGATTATACGTGTCACTTACAAAATGGTGTACTGTAATATTAACCCAATAAAAAAAAGAAAGAAAAAGAAACGTTGATAGCGCTCAACTGCGGTCAAAGTTTTTGAGATTTCTTTTTCAATATTGTCAGCATCGGAGAGCCTAGTTATTGCCCTAGACCCCATTGATCACCTTTATTTGCAAGATATGACACAATTCACTGATAATATTAAACTGCACGTACAGAGAACATAGGGTGATTTTAGTTTTTTAATTGCTGTCTGGGCAAATTTTCCTTATAGCACAGTGTATCGAGTATGTATGTCCGTCTTCATTGGCCAGGTTGGTACAGCCAAGTGGGGCATTAAGCAATTAAACCGCATTTAACCCATTCAATAATTTAAGTTTTTTAAGCAACAAAATATCTGGGTTATATTAAAGACAAAATTGGTTGAAGAAAAATAAAGATATCAAACCTGTGGGATTTTTTGGACCAGGAAAGTAACAACTGACTTGAACAACATCACATTTTGAAGACACAAATGTTTTATGTATTCTAGATTGTAACCACACAGAGTATGTTGAGTCGAGGAAGTTTTGTAAAATTTACCTGCACTTTTTCATTTTATTGTTCACTAGGTAATTGTTGGATTGTATGGTTTGAGTGCGGACCAAGAACGGGCTCATTTTGGAATGTGGTCAATGTTTGCCTCACCATTGCTGTTGGGTGCAGATTTAAGATCAATAAAAAACGAATCGAAGGCTTTATTACAGAACAAAAACATACTAGCTATCAATCAAGATCCACTTGGAAGACAGGCCACTTTAAAAATGAAGGTAACTTGTATCATACCACTTTTATCGTTCAGCACAACGTACGGAAATAACCTGATCTTAAAAGGCTCTATCGTGTTTTATCTGACCTGCCGCCCATTAATATCGGTAACAAAACTCCCAAGAAATTTAGAAGTATCAACCGTATTGCTGACAATCTCATAAATTTATGATATATCCACCCCTTCCAAGTTTGTATATGATTATAGGCCCTCATCTAGTCATGCAATACTATACTCACCTCTAATAGCAAAGATTTGTTGTTGCTTTTTCAGTTGGCCCAAGAAAAGATCTATGTATTTTTGAAAGGACTAACTGGTGGTAGAACAGCCATAGCATTATTTAATGCAGATTACCATGGACAACCTGTTAGAGCCACGTTCATGCTGAATCAACTTGGATTAACAAATGGAAATGGTTACAGCTTCACAGACGGATTTAGTGGCATGGCTCGTGGAAAGTATATGCCTGCAACAGAAATAAATATAGATGTTAACCCAACTGGGATAGATATATTTATAGCAACTCCAGTGTAGATTTAAGAAATAAAAAAAGTGACTTATAGTTGCGTTCATAAAATATTGCTTTTTCGAAAAAAAAATAATAATACCGGCTCCTTAACGCTAACCTAAATTGTTTTTATTGGGGAAGATACAAGATTACGATTAGTGAGCACGTACACACTTTTGTGTTTATCAAGGTGCCCCTGTCTCATCTTGTACTTTGCTGGGTGGGAAAACACTTGAAAATATCCAAATCTGCCCCTGTTTCTTTGGTGGCAAGCAGTTTTATTGGAAGGAATCTTGACAAGGATCACATAGTCAACATACTTACCAAACCAGGTAGAAATGCGTGTTGTTGAAATGCGTGTTGTTGAAATGAAGTAATCAAAAACGCCAAATTTGGTCAAATCAAGATGCCTTTACCCCAATCCAGATCAGTTGAAGAAATCTGACAAGCTTGCCAACATTTATATCAATTTTTATCACAATCCCACAAGTGCTTTCAGAGAAAAAGTCAAACAAAAATATTTAAATTTCAACCTCTCTTCTGATCCACCACTATGGGGTTCCAACCCTTTGGTTTAAACAAAAAGGTTCTTTATCATTTAAGGACACGTTTCGACCGTATATCAACGAAATCCATTCAGCCATTCGAAAACAGAAGAATATTTTAATATTCTTCTGTTTTCGAAATGATAACCCAAAGCTGCTTCTTAACTGGGTCACTGTTCCCCCCACACACCATGCAATGAACTTTATTTAACCATATCTCAATAAACATCATCCGGGCAATATACCTAATTTCATAGAACTGGAACATGAATAATAGTTTATTCCGACCGGTTTGATATGTTCAGACATGTTGAGTCTGTAAGTCACACTAAGAGTGTTTTTTGTCAATATCGCCAAAAGTATTGCAGCAGTGACTGACAACAAAAACCGCTCTTAGTAGGCCCGGGGGTTCCCACGGGGTGCTGTAGATGTCATTTTAATTCACTGCATGCATGTCTTTCCAGTACAATGTATGGTTGGGGAATTTTCGTTGTGAATACTTAGAAATTAATTTTATTAACCCATTGGTCCAAATTGTCATCCTGATTAAATTGGCATTACATAGTTTCTAATATGTTTTCTGTCCTAAATAATGTGCCTATTATTGAGCCTTCGAACAGCAAATCAGGTGATATCCTGCACTTGATAAAAATTTGTTGTATACATTTATGAAGGTCATCGTTTTTTTTTATCAAATAATAGCCTACTAATTCTTGTCATCATTTTTTTTTATCATTATCCGTCTTGATATTTGATATAAATATCGATATAATCTTTGTCTTATAAAACAATAGACATTTTAGAATACGCTTAGCGAGATGACGGTATGTAACTTTCAAATCTACGAGGCAACATTTTATGTGGGTAATGTAATTGAGAGGTGAGAGGGTCGTAGTAAGGCATGGTTGATTTTTTTAACCACTAGACATTAAACAATAATTAATGTTCTGTGGGTTATTTACAACGAAGCTTTACTTGCTGAAGGAATAATCAGTACCATTGTTTAAACTTCTTTTAATTAAACAAATAATTATTTGGTTGCTAAAGGTATGAGTCGGCTTAATATTGACCTCAAGTTACAGAAGACGCTTTGATAAAAGAAACCCTTTAATTTACCCCAATCGCAACTCGGTCGACTATTTTATGGCCAATGTATACTATATTAACGTATACAAATGATATGAAAAAGATGCGTCGATAAATATCATAGGAATTGTTTACAGGTGATTGAGCAACTAGACTGACTTTAACTTTACTTTCGCTTTCTAATCTGGAGCTGTTTTATTGTTAAGTAACTTTCAAGGTTCTTAGATCCAGTGACATTTACAAAAAGATCATTATGTTAACGAATTTTTATATAGAGAATATAATACGATATGATCTTTACTCTGTTTCAGTTTTTTGAAGTACTTGCAGTCATTGTATTTTTAGTTGGATTCTTAGAGGCAGCCAATAATGGTGTAGCAAGGACGCCGCCATTAGGGTGGATGTCATGGGAACGGTTTCGCTGTAACACAGATTGTGTAACCTACCCGGATGCTTGTATAAAGTAGGTCTATGTTTACAAACACATTACTTTATGTTCTTTTATCTATTTAACATTTTTAATCCCAATGAATTCATCGATCATCGCTGTAGAATTTGAAACATCGTAGGATCTGATTAGTTTCTTAAAAACATATTGATACGCTGTAGATTACTGAATTCTAGGTCATTTAGATACTAGGGGATCAAATCCCTGGAACTATGCGGTGTAGGACACATCGGTTTTCTACAGCAACCGGAACTCCAAGATAAAAATTACTAACACTCTAATACGAAACATCTTGATTATATAGGAATCCAGATTCGGATACCAAGCTATAAACCACGCTATTTTAAGGCTCGGAGGCCCCTGAAGAAGTTAATGCTCTCACGTAGATTGGGGCCCCTTTTACTCAGGATATATTCCCGCCATTCCCCCCCCCCCCAAAAAGGAGCGAGGCTCCGAGGCCTCCGGTCCCCAATCCATGCATGTCACAAGCACACATAAAAACTCCAATGGCAATCTCTAGCGTCTGGTTATTCCACTCTATACCGATAGTATTTATTGCTCATGCTCTCCAGATAAGAATATAACGTCACCGTTTGACATGACTTGTGGAATATATCTAGCCTTTTTCTACGAGCCCCTTGTTAAAATGGCCCTGAAATGCACCATGGTACACGATTCGTGTACCATCGGTAAATTGGTTATTTTGTCTTAGTTATTGGATATCAGAAGCCTATCTTTTCCCCGTAAGATCACAACATCAACGACGATTTTGGATGATATTGAGTTAGAGCTTAGCTACTTTAAGATATTGTATAAACAGACACTAACTTCTACTAAACTTTCAGCGAACAATTAATTATGCAAATGGCTGATCATATGGCTGCAGATGGCTATAAGGATGTCGGATATGAATATGTCTGTATTGACGATTGTTGGCCATTAAAAACAAGAGGTGCTGATGGTCGACTTGTACCAGATCCTGCCAGATTTCCCAGTGGAATGAAGGCTTTAGCTGATTATGTAAGTTCTTTGAGGGAGGCGGAATTAAGTGAAACTGAATTATAGGTCTTTGATAACTAATTGAAATTCATGTCATTTGATAACCTAGTGACGCAGGACAGAGATCCTGACAAAGAAAAACGTCTAGTCGTTCAGTTGGAACAACAGAAACCCCGATGTCCTGTACAAGTTTCAATTCGAAATAAGAGTGGGCTGTAGTGCCGCTGTTCGGGCAAAATTGTCCCCTAACGTCTTCTGTTGGTGCTTCAATGTTGGATGTTAAATCCCATTTCTTTACAAAATAAAATAAATGAAAGTGAAAGGGGGGGGGGGGGTTATTATCAAAATCTAAGGTATTTTATAATCCGTTTAATTTAGAGAGAGAGAGAGAGAGAGAGGGAGAAAGAGAGAGAGAGAAAATGGAGTTAAACGTCAACTCGACACAGACTAGGTCATTTCGGGACTAAATTTAATTTAAATAAGATATTCATTTAAACTGGAGTAAGGTTTACTAGTATTATAGTTTAAGAAGCAGACGTATTGTTCGGTGTTTACCTGGTGATTACAAGTTAAGTCGAGAACATGATTCCGGCGTGGGTCCCCCTTGTCACTGATGCGAAAAGCCGGGGCCCCGTGTACACATCGGCGTGCACGTAAAAGATCCCTTGACATTGGAATTCGATATAAGAGTAGGCCGTAGTGCCGCTGTCCGGGCAAAATTTCCCTCATGGCACACTATGGCGTATGGCCGTCTTCAGTAGCCCAGTTTGGAGCAGAACAGTAGGACGTTAAACCACATTTCATTTCATTTCTTTTTATTGCTTCATGCCATCGCAATGCGCATCTATTTTCCTCGCTCAGTAGTCAAAATACAAAATGAAAGTTGTAAGGTCGTGATCGGCCTAAATTTTATTAAACATCTGGCATCGCATCTTCACATTTACTGCAGGTTCACAGTAAAGGTTTGAAACTGGGAATCTATACAGATTTTGGTTACATGACTTGTGGTGGATATCCTGGAAGTGAATTTTATCTTCAACTCGATGCCGAAACATTCGCAGAATGGGACCTCGATATGCTGAAACTTGATGCTTGCTACTCTTTCGGAGAGGATTTGAAATATGGTAAGACGGATCTCAATTTCTCCCTTTTAATTCCCACTCGATAATAAGAGACAGAACACATGTTTCACCCTTGGCGGATTTTTTCCACGACTACATTAACCAAATCTAGCAGATTATCTCGGTGCTTTTTTTGGGTTCCATTGCTCCGCTGTGCATAGTTGTACACAGTAGATAATATGCATACACAATTCCTGACAAAAAGGAATTCACTTGTAGTCTTGGCAAATGTATACCCGCAGGTAACCCTGAACATCACTGAAGTATTCTGTCAATTACGTCTTAACCACACCTATTTCATAAATCGCCGAAATCGAGATGAAGAGGTCATTCATAAGCTATGTTTTTCAGGTTTTCCCGCTATGGAATTTTACCTCAATCGTACTGGTCGTCAGTTTGTATTTTCTTGTGACTGGGATTGGGCAATGAATGATCAAGTAAGTATATAATACTGTACCAGAGATCAAACGTGACGCATTGAGATTTAACTAGGAGCAAACTTGGTTTATGGTACAATTTGTCGAGCTGGCCAGTAAAAAATAACTACACAGTCATTTCCTTACTTCATAAATTCCCAAAGACTCGCGATATATCGGCATATCAGTGATGCTAATTCAAAGCTACCACGAACTTTGACGTCAATGTTTGATCTCAAGGTGGGGTGGGGGGACCTCGGTGATCGAACTTTATAATACCCCTCTCGCGATACGTTACCAACAGGAGCTACTTAGGTACCATTGTTTCTGAAGATGCTATAATTCAAATGTCTACATTTCAGGCCAACTACACCCATATGGCAGAGTTTTGTAATATGTGGAGAATAGCTCATGATATGGAAGATTACTGGGATAATGTTCAGCTAGTGATTGACGTTTATGCTAATAATTCCAGAAATTTTAGTGCCTTTACAGGACCTGGAGCCTGGGCAGATGCAGATTCGGTAAGTGGCTACCAAAAGCGGGTATATTTTTATACCCCATCCGTTTCTCGTTGTTCACAATTGTTGTTACTTTAAAACATCATTTAACGTGGACCTGACCAGTTAGGCGACTTTCGGATATGCAGGTAGTCTCTAAACCCCGTATATTGATCAAACATACAATATGTTAAAATTAAACTATTGAAATATCAACAATTGTCTATTGTAAATAGGTTTTCCTTCTTCCAGGTTATTGTTGGCCTGTATGGTTTGAGTGATGATCAAGAACGAGCTCAGTTTGGAATGTGGGCCATGTTCGCCTCTCCACTGTTGCTGGCGGCTGATTTAAGATCAATCAAAAACTCGTCTAAAGCACTGTTACTTAACAAAAACATATTAGCTATCAATCAAGACCCTCTTGGTATACAGGGTACTTTAAGAATGAAGGTAAATATACTAGGTCATTTTCGCATTATGACTGTTGTTATTTCACCACTTGTCTTTAGCTCAGTATATGCATGATTCTAAAGAACACTGTCTATTATTTCGATGGTTGCAGGTCTAATGAAGCTTCGATCTGTTGTACAAGAAGTTTAAATAATTTATTTTCATCGGTGGATTAGAAACACTGGAGACCTCTATTTCAAGTCTATATTTAACACTAAAGAATAAAATAGAATTATGTTTAACTGTACCTATTTTCCATTCAGTTAGGTCCAAACAAGATATGCTTCTAAATTCTTGATTCCAAAGCACTAAGTCTTGTGTTAACGGATTGTGTGTGTCTTCGGGGAAAGGGTACTGTCGCCAACAAAGACTTGTTCTTTTTTTTCAGTTGGGCCAAGACAAGATCTATGTATTTTTGAAAGAACTAACTGGTGGTAGAACAGCCGTAGCATTATTTAATTCAGATTACCATGGACAACCTGTTAGAGCCACGTTCATGCTCAATCAACTTGGATTAACCAATGGAAATGGTTACAGCTTCACAGACGGATTTACTGGCATGGCTCGTGGAAAGTATATGCCTGCAACAGAAATAAATATAGATGTTAACCCGACTGGCATAGACATATTTATAGCAACTCCAGTGTAGATTTATTAAATAAAATTACATTGATTTCGTATTGATGTTTATTATTATACTATTCAAAAAAAGTAGGGGATATTTGATTTTGGGGGCATAATACTAAAATATGCAAATGACTACGAAAAAAGTCACTATAGAACCTAACAGAAGAAACATTTCCAGTTACATGTGACGCCCAAACGCACCAATAGCTACCGCATGGAATGCAGGTAATGCTTGGAATCATCATGGGGGTCCAACCCAAGATTTGCACGACTCTGACTTTGAATGTTACAGTCATTGTGGCATTGAATTCTAGGGTGGAAACATCAGTTTAATTGTTTTAGTGACCAGAAAACAAATTTTGATATGCGTCGGCTTACCCAAAATGAAAGGTTACGTGCCCTTGGCATGCTACAGATCGGCACAACACAGGCGGTTGTGGCGCGGACGATGAATGTTTCTCAGTCTGTCATAAGCAGGCTATGGTCCAGATACCGTGATACACAATCTGTACAGGACAAACCACGCTCAGGTCGACCAAGGGCGACAACTCAAGCCCAGGATCGATTTATCCGTACCTTGGCCTTGAGAAATCGTGTCATCACAGCAAATCAGATCAGCGCTCGTCTTCAAACAGACACTGGTGTGAGAGTGAGTGGCCAGACGATTCGGAATCGACTGCATAGGGGTCACCTTCGCGCCCGACGTCCTCGCGTGATCCCTTGTTTGAGAGATCATCACATTCAGGCAAGACGTCGTTGGTGTAGGGATCGTCAACACTGGGATAATCGACGCTGGAGCAATGTGATGTTTTCAGATGAGTCAAGGTTCACTGTTGATTTTTTGGACAGACGTAGGAGGGTGTGGCGTCGTCGAAACGAGCGCTTCCAAGACGTTAACGTCATCAGACATGATCGATTTGGGGGTGGTTCTGTTATGGTGTGGGGAGGCATCACTGTTGCTGGAAGAACGGCTTTACATGTTGTTGCAGGGCGTGTTACAGGCCAGTACTACCGGGACAACATCTTGGCAGTCCATGTTGTGCCGTTTGCACGACGTCATGGCCGCCGTTTCATCTTCCACGATGACAACGCAAGATGTCACAGGGCCAGGATCGTTACAGGTTACCTCCAACAACAGAACATCACCGCATTACCTTGGCCAGCACTGAGTCCCGACCTCTCCCCCATCGAGCATGTCTGGGACATGCTTGGACAGAGGTTACGTCAACGTCAACAACGTCCTGCCAATGTCCAAGAACTTGCTGCTGCGTTGCAACAGGAATGGGACAATCTGGACCAAAATGACCTTAGACGTCTCATTATGAGTATGCCACGTCGGATCAATGCTTGTTTGGCAAACAGAGGAGGATTTACCCGTTACTGACTTGGTTGTGATGCTGTGGTAACTTTGCTGTTTGACCCCGGGTATCATTTTACCCTTATAATGGTCAGTCTGTGCCTTACTTAGTCTAACGATCATTTGGAATAAATCGATGAATGTGAACTTCATTTCATTTTGTCATTTGTTTCTTCGTCAGTTTCATTAGGTGACTTTAATAACACTTAAAAATCAAATATCCCCTACTTTTTTTGAATAGTATATTAAAATACATAGTTCTAATATAAAGTTGACACTAATGGACCGTCTTTTCCAATACAATATATAGGTCATTGTGAGACCAAAAATACGAGTCGGGATTTCATTAAAATGTTATCCGACTTTTGTCACTATTCAACGAATTCTTTCATAAATTCCCACCAACACAATTCCTCTTCCAAGTGGAAATCCATTTTGTGCAGCCGAGATCCTGGAGCAACGTCAGTGTTCTAACCCATGACATAATTTGTTTCGTCCTAACGACTAAATACATAAAATGCCAACCTACTCAGCAACAAGAGGTGGTGAAGGTTGCGGTTGTAAGAACAGCGCTTCCAACACACCAAACATTTATCTGGGTAAAATTCAGTATTCTAATATAGTCATCCGTGTCGAGAGTCAAGTATCTTATTTACAACACGACTACGTTATCGGTATAGATATAACCGAACTACCTTTCAAGGGGTATCCCGCTCAGAGAATCTTCAGTACTCTCCGATAGGCAAGCCTGATTCTACATGGCGTTACCGTATCAATGCAAATTAAGTGACCCGGCTGATAAACAATATGGCGTCGGGTAATATTATAATACATGACATGTTTAAATCAAAAACAGTATTCTTCAAGTGACCGCAAGTGATCAGTAAGTGACCGCAAAATAAGCAGAAAATTATTATTAGTAATATTACCAAGAAAAAAAACACAACTTTTGTCGACTTCCGTTAAATCAAGTCACCTTGACGCGGAAACTGTCGAACTATGGTCAGACGGTATGCGCCGGTATGGACAATTCAAGCAGGGCGTGTGTCAACTATCGGCAAAATTGACGATAACCGGCATTGGGAATATCATGGAGATCCGACCACCTTGCCTTGTATTGCCTTGAATTTTAAGTAGTTATCTTACCATACCAGAAACATTTTTTAAAATAATATAAGTAAAAATGGAGGTTACTGTTTGATAAGATATCATACTGATCGACTTGAGTGATATGTAGGATACAAAGATAAAATCACCATCTATATCTTATTTTACTGTTGATTATCATAAGTCGGGCTGTTTTTTGTCTGCATTAACATCAAGATGAAATCAGTATGTATACTAATATATAACAAATATGTAAATTATGTTAGCCATAATATGTCGTGTAGATTATTATACAATTTCTCTCTTTCTGTTATCCAGAATCGGTTAAATATTTTAACTCTTTTTGGTCCTGGGTTTTATCGCTTCACCAATAGTTAAACCATTCATCTGTGTGTGTGAAAAATAAGATAATAGTGTAGCCGCAAAAGTCAGTATGAACTCACCAAATTGAAATAAAAAAACACGTAGCCCATTTCAAATCAAATATAAGCTATATATTATGTAACAGCTATGTACTTAAAATAAGTAAACGGTCGCTGAGTGAGTAAAGCGTTGCCTTGTTAACGGGGTCCCGGGTTCGCTATCGGTGTTGACAGAGAAAGTTTCTCGGGATTCTCCTGCCTATTTCCCCCTTGTCAGTGGTACCGGACGAGTGGTCTGACAAAAGAACAACGTCTAGACGTTCGGATCGGACGAAAACCCAAGGCGCCGTGTACATTTTGGCGTGCACGCAGAAGAACACTTGACAGGCGTATACCTGTCTTCATTATCCCAGTTGGTGCAAAACTGGCAGATATAAACACCATTTCATTTATACATGTAATACATACATTAATTTCTATTTTCTCAAAAACGAAAACACAGACGACTGGTTTGGGCGTTATAAGATTTTAATTTAAAATTTAGCAACTAAAAATAGTTAATTTCCCCTCACGGATGAAATTTTCTCAATATTTATCAAATGTTGAGCGAGGGGTGATCTTACAATGTTCCAGTTATCAAGCTGGTCTTATATATGAATACAGATACAATAATAACACACTAAAAATAATAAAACACAAATTTAGATAAAAAGGGAATGGGAGGGTGGGATATAAAAAGGCTGTTCAGAGTGAAGTCACCAGGCAACCACACCCGCCGCAGTATACTATAGGTATAGCATCTTCGATAGAAGGCTTGATCTCGCTTTAACTACATACATCTTATCAAGGCCTTCGCGTAATACCCTGCATATTTCGGCACTAATTTCGATTGGGCACAAGTTCACCTTGTGAGCCTATCAGTGTCGCGAATACCAAGTCTCGCGCTTTCAAGCTAAAATGTCACAACCTCTGATTGACCGCTCTGTTCACGTGTCTGTGGATAACGTAGCTATAAGTTCGGGAATTGTGAAGTAATCTAGCAACGTCCAGATGTTGTAAAACTCGCAGTCGTTGCTTCAGGAACATGCAGGTAAAGAAACACTCCAATGCCAGATTACAAGGTGAACAACGCCTATTATCTCGCGCACGTGCGGCAGGTTGAGCGAGCTCACGAACGCACGCTAGCTATTTGAAACCTATCTCGCTTTAAAGGGCCAATTCGATCACAAAAATTAAAAGTAAATTAATTACCAGGTAATTTTATACAATATAAGCGTCTTACCCTTAGTATCGTAATTATAAATTTTGTATATTCTACTAGGTTGTGTTACTAATACCAGCAATCTTACTTATTTTCTGTGGGGTTCTCATCCATGCAGCAAATAATGGCGTTGCATTGAATCCACCACTGGGGTGGCTGTCATGGGAACGTTTTCGATGTAATACTGATTGTGCGAATGACCCTGATTTTTGTATAAGGTAGGCCCAATATTGCAAATAGTCACATCCACATCCTCTTTAGAATGAATTAAATCAAAAATATTTCTTTTTTTTGGACAAGAAACATTTGGTTTTCATCCAAATCGATTTGATTTTAAAAGACGTTGTTGGTATAGATAAACAGGTCACCATTAAAACAAGACCCAGTATCGTCATCAGTGAAGAAATTATTGTCCCGAATCAGATTTCTGAAATTTCAATCCTTTGTTTCAGACATTAGTACTTACATACAACTCGGTGAAATTAAATGTAGTAAAAATAACACTTAGCCCCTGTTTCCCAATGGGATACTAAAATAGAATACTAAACGATAATTTTGGATTATGTCTTAGTTCTGGATTGAATATGCTTTTTTCTATGGTACTCCAGGAAAAGCCAACATTGTCATATTGTTCTATATATCCAAAATACACGTTGGGCTTTATTATGAATAAATAGGCCTAATGTAAAAAATATTTTCAAATTTTAAAGTAAGAATCTTATAAAGACACTAACAGATCACATGGTAGCACCCTTGCATTTGTTCTTCTCATACAGAATATCAAACGAAATTAAAAATATTCACAGATTTTAATTTAAAATTTCTCAGCGAAAAGTTAATAATGCAAATGGCTGATCATATGGTTGAGGATGGCTATAAAGATGTCGGATATGAATATGTCTGTATTGACGATTGTTGGCCATTAAAAACAAGAG